CAAACCCGCCTTATCTTTACTTTTTAACCATAATTTTATTAGCTAAAAACATAAAATTAAACTTTTCCAAGCCTTTATAATACTTATTATTATTTATATTATTATTATTCTTTATATAATTTAACTATATATATTTTTTATTATCAATTTAATTAATTAACCCATAATTTACAATATTTCTTATAATTAAGCTTTTTTTATATATTAATAAATTATTTAATAAAGCTTAATTTATTATAAGCTAGTTAATATAAATTATATTAATATAAATTATAAGCTAATAATAAAGCTTATGCTTTTTTTTATATTATATATTATTAAGTTTTTTAAATATACTTTATTTAGCATATTATTAAGCTTAATTTAATTTATAATTAATAATAATTACTTTAATATACTTTTTATATATTACTTAATTTAAAAAGGCTTAAGCTAAATAATTACTTAATACTATAAAATTAAAAGGTAAGATTTAAGGCTAAAGCATTAAAAAATTAAAAATAAATAATAAAAAATGCTTTAAAATGCTTAAAAAAAATAATAAATAAAATTAATAAATAAGCTTTAGCATATTACTTAAATATAATAATAATATTATTAAATAATATAAAGATATATATTTTAATAAATTACTTACTTTTATTATATTTAATGCACTTTATATTATTTCTTTTAAAAAGTTAATATTTTAAGCAAGCTTTAATATAAAATTATGCTTTAAATCTTATTTATTAAAATTAAGTATAAAATTTAATAATACTTATATTACTTTAATTAATAATATATTTAAATAAATAAAATTTATATATTTATATTTAAATTAATAGCATTACTTATATTTCTTTTTAAAGGCTATTCTTTTTTTCTTTATTACCTTATTTTAACTTAATAACCGCTTAATTAAAGCAGTTAATATATTTAATTTATAAATATAATAATTTATCTTTACCTTTTTAAAACTATTCTTAACTTACTTAATTCTCCTTTTTTTTAATAATAAAAAGGGCTTTATTTTATTAAAGAGCTTAATATTTATTTTTATACTTATATAAGTATATTAATTAAGATTAAGCTTAAAGGCATTAAGCTTAGCTTTATTTAAAGGAGTATATATAGCATTAATAAGGTTAAATAAAATTAAAGGCAAAATTAAAAATAAGTTATTTAACTTAATCTTAAAGGTAATATTATTAATAAAGAAATAATTAAAAATACTTATGTCTTATAATAAATTATTTAATAAAGGGAAAATAAAATATAATTCTTATATAAGCTTAAGTTTAAAATTAATAAGCTTATTAAGATTTTTAATATTAACTTATAATATTAAATTATTTTTTAGCAATAAAAGCCCTTAAAAATATAATAATAACTTTATAATATAACGTTATAATTAATAAGTAAATTTTTATATTAATTATTATATAAAAAGTTTTAATTAATATTAATATAAATAAAAGTTAATTAAGTAAAATGCCTTACCTTTTTATATTATAATATTAACTTTATAAGTATATAAGCATTTTATAATATATTAAAATAATCTTATATATAATATATTAAGTTACCTTAAACTTTTTAACTTATTATAATAATTAATAAAAAAGTTACTTATAATTTAAGATATTATAAATAATAAATTAATTAAAAATATAAAAAAATAAAGTAATATACTTAATGCTATTTTTAATTCCTTAATTAAAATATTTTAAAACCTTTAAAATAAAATTATTATTAAATAAAAAAAGGCATTTATTATAATTATATATATATATTTTTAATAATTAAGCTATATCTTTAAATAATAATATAAACTCTTTATAATAAACATAAAAAGAATATTAAAATACATTATATATAAAAAATATACTTAATAAATACTTTATTAATAATAATTAAGCTAAATTTTATTAATATAATAAATAGCTTTTATACCTTTATTAATCTTTATTTACTTTTATTAAAATAAACTTTAAAATTTCTTAAAAATTATTAATATAAATAATATTAATTATAATAAGAAACTTTATCTTTATTTTCTTAAATATTATATTATTTAAAATATATTAAATAATATAAATATTATATTTAAATACTTAAAAAAAGTATTATTAATATATAATAATTTATATTTATAAAAATATTACTTAAATAATATTGCTTTTAATAATCTTAATATTTATTATTTAAAAATTATAATTAACTTTATAGCTTTTTAATATTTTAAGTATTTAAAATAAAATCCTTAATTATTTAATTACTTATTAAGGTTAATAAGTAAATATATAAGCATTATTAAGGTATTATTTTAATTATATAAATAAATAATAATTTATATTAATTAATATTATAAATAACATTTATAATAAAAAAGAAAGAGTTATTAAAGCTTTTAAATTATATTGCCTTTATAAAATAAAATATAATATACTTAACTTAATATTTTATATTAATTAATAAGTTAATTAAATAATTATTTTTAATTAAATTATTAATAAGGCATTTAATTAATAGCTAACCCTTAATATTTTAATTATTAATATTTTTAAAAATTATTTACTTATATAAAATTATATAAAGAAAGTAAATAATAAAGGTACTTAATAAATATTATTATAATTAAATATTATATTATTTTTAATAATAAGGTAAAAAAGTAATTTTAATAAAGAAATGTTTTTTAAAGGTTTTAAATGCTAAATAATTATATAAAGAAAAAATTTTTATAATATAAAAAGAATTTATATATTTTAATAAATATATATAAAATATATAATTAAGTATATTTACTTAAAATACTTATATCCTTTTTAATTATAAAGCTAAATAAGCAATTTATTTTATATAAAATTAATAGCTTTTTTAACCTTTTTTATTTAATTATTATTATTTTTTTAACTTATTATTTAAAATTATTAATAAATTTATTTATAATCTTATTTACTTTTTTATTATAATATTTTACTTTACCATTAAATATATATTTAATAATAATTTAATAATAAAATATATTTTTTTTAATTTATATAATTATAATTATATATTTATATAATTTAATTTAAATATTAAATGCATTTTAAAAATAAAGATTATACTTTATTTTATAAATATTAATATAAGGATTATAATTATTAAATTATATTTTAATAAATAAATAATAAAGTTACTTAAATTTAAGTATAATTTTATAAGCTATATTTAAAAGATATTTATAATTATCTTAAAAAATAAAAATAATATATTATAAATATTTTAAATATTTAAATTATTATTTTTAAGTTATTATTTTAATTATTTATAATTATATTAAGGTTAAATTTAAAGATATTAATAATAAAATAATATTTAAAAATAAGGATTATAAAATAATTAATTTAAAAAAATAAAAAGAAATAAGTATTATTTTATAAATAAATTAATTAAATATATAAATAAATAAATAAAAAGTAATTTTATAATAAAGTTATAAGATAAGTTAAATATTATATAAAGTAAATAATAATAAAGTAAATAAGTTAACTTAAAGTTATAAAATTTTTTTTTTATACTTTATATTAATATAATAAATATAAATTAAATATATTACATAAAGAATAATAAAATAAATATAATAAAGTAATAAGGTAGCTATAATTTTAAAAAGCTAGCTTTTAAGGTATATTTATGTTTTATTAATACATATAGCTAATTTCCTTATATTAGGTGGGTTAACGCTGGAAGCTAGGTGGGCGTACTGTAGAAGCTGGGTGGGCGTACGCTGACTCCCACTTACCCGTCGATTTCTGATGCGATCAAATGAGCCGAGACCTCTTGAAAAGCTCGAGAATAAATCCCAGCCACTCGCACCTATATTTTGGGAGCCAGCCAGAAGAGGACAAGAACACGACCTGCCAGTCCCATGAACCTACCAGGGATGATGGATTGTAAAGCGAAAACCCAGTATCCGAATGGGACCTGTGGCAAGACGAGACCCCGAGCTTGGGAAAGAGCACCTCGGCCTCGTGGTCACGCGCTCTTGCCACGCCACCCGGCCACCCAGCCACTGTGGCGGGCAGCCACGACTGTGCGGAGGTACCTCGAGCGGGCGAGAAGCTCCGGCTGGCCTTGGTGATTCGCCAGCGCGTAGTTAAGCTTCTGCCAAGAATGGGGAGAGCCGGTGGGCAGGGATGCCAAGTTTTTGAGCACGGGTGATGTGTGCCAAGACTTGCCCCAACATGCTCAACACAGGCAAACTGACTGACAGAGCGAGCTTGCTGATCATGAATTGAGTCTAGATCAGCCATCCGTCCTGTAAATCCTGACAGGCGCTCCCTCCCTTGGCTCCCTTGCCCCTCCCGGGCCGGATCTTGCCCATGTTTCACACGTCTATCTGCCCGTCTGCGCATCGAAGCTCTGGTAGGTGGGATGTGGGGTTTTACTTGCTGGCCCGGCCTTTTGAGGTCATGGTGTGCTCGTAGGTGGTCTCGATTCTTCGGTTGGGCCACCGCATTGTGGTGATGGATCAACATTCATTCCTTCAACAAACGTGCCGCCTCCCGGTCCGTCAGTCTTCCGGCAATGTGGTGCCGTGCTGTGATGGGTACAGTACGTACACTAGCCTACCACTTGGACCGTTGACGACGCTGCGACAAGGCGTGCTCCATTGGCCAACGCGACATTAGTTAGCCATGTACATGTATCACAATTTCACCCCCTTTGATTTCATGTGACGTCAATTTCGCTGCCGTTGCCCATGTCGTGTTTTGACCCTCCCGTTCGTGACAGTTATTATAGATGCCCCTTGGTGCCTTCTCCCGTACCACCCTTCAATGTCCCGCTTCTCGTCTTCAGTCAAACACAGGACAGCTGCAGCATAACAGCCTCAGCGTGAGGCATCCATACCCCTGGCTCTGTACTGAGCTCCCGTCCCCTGTTGACAGACTCGCCCAGTCAGTCCATCAGAGAAGCTTCGTCTAGTGCCGAATTTCCAACCATCTGGCCCAAGCCCCATCACCGCGAACATGGGTTTCTTCAGCCGTAAACCTCGCGACGGCCCGGGAGCACATGCAGCCACCACCACCCCGCCCAAACACCACAATGACAAGGGGACGCCTTACTACTCCATGAGCTCGCGGCCCAAGTTCGGCCAGTGGCTCAAGCACACCTGGCTCGACATTGTCACGATGGTTATCATGGGCGTCATTGGCCTTGGTGTAAGTTAAACAAGTCACCAGACACTTCAAGTGTTCGAATGTTCCTTCTTGCGCAGATCAGCTACTGACGCCTCGGTATTAGGTCTACGAAGCGCACCCGGCACCAACCCGCTCGTTCCCCGTCCTCTTCTCTGACGGCGAGGTCGTCTACCCCGAGTTTGCCTATCCCCTTCGCAAGGAGATCGTTCCCATCTGGGCCGCTGCACTGCTCGCAGCCCTTGTCCCTATTTTCGTCTTCCTGGTCATGCAGATCCGCATCCGCTCCTTCTGGGACGTCAACAATGCTGTCATCGGCCTCCTCTACGCCTTGATCACTGCCGCCGTCTTCCAGGTCTTCGTCAAGTGGCTGATCGGGGGTCTACGCCCGCATTTCTTGACCGTGTGCCAGCCTGACATCTCCCTCGCCAGCAACAACCCCGGCGACAAGGGTGCTGGCTACAACGCAGCCGGGTTCAAGCAGATCTACTACACAAGCGAGATCTGCACCGGCGACCGGAACACTATCGACGACAGCCTTGAGTCGATGCCGTCTGGCCACACCACCGCCGCCTTCGCAGGCTTTGTCTACCTGTATCTCTACCTCAACGCCAAGCTCAAGGTCTTCTCCAACTATCATCCCGCTATGTGGAAGCTGATCGCCATCTACGCCCCAATCCTCGGCGCTTGCCTTATCGGCGGTGCCCTGACAATTGACGAGTTTCACAATTGGTGAGTTGAGCCAAGAATTGCCCTCATTGGTCCTCCAACGTTCTTTTGCTAACGGCGATTCAGGTACGATATTCTTGCAGGCGCAATTATCGGCACGGTGATGGCCTTCTCCGCGTACAGGATGACATACGCGGCCATCTGGGACTGGCGCATCAACCACATTCCCCTCAACAGGGGTGTGCCATTTGACTTTGCCAACCCCGAGCTCACGCATGCTACATTCACGAGGAAGGTTGGCTGGGGTGCTTCGACTGGTGTCGTCGGCGAGCACAACGGGCACCATGGCTACGGCCATGGCCACAACGCGTCCATTGGCACCAGTGGCGTGTCGAGGAAGCCTGTTGGGTCCGGCCGGGCTCCAGAGACCATGGTCTAATACACGAATGAGGCTAAAAATAATGGTAAAGATGCCTCGGGATGGGCAGTAGGCCGAGAGATGTTTGGGGGAGTAGGGAAGGCTTTGATTACAATTGCCTATCCATTGTTTCGATCAGGGGCAGCACGTGCCGGACATTTTCCAGCCTTGATGCTCGCCCCTTTCAGGTTTGACGCTTATTATCGTCCGCTTTCGACGAAGCTGGCGAATACACGATACCCATATGAGTTACGCGAGCCAATTAATTCGATTAATACTTAAAACTGTAAACACGCACTCAAAGGATTCGTGACAATCTCCACGGGTATCATACCATCCAGGAACACCGAGCCACCCAGTCGCCGCCAAAACAGACCAAAGATTCCACGCGTAACACCAAATAACATCGCTGCACTCGAGCCAGAGCACCGTGCTTCATGGCCCTCACTTCTTCCCAAGTATCTTCCCGATCAAGCTCTTTCTTCGGGCAGGTCTCTCCGGCAAAGGCGCCTCCTCTTCCACGGTCACAGAACCGACGCTCTTCTTCCTGGCTGGAGCGCTCGCCTCGGACTTGGAACCCCTCCTAGGCGGGACGTCGCTCTTTGAGTTTTTCCTCGGCTTGCTCTCCTCGCCGCGGGCCCTCCAAAGTAGGCCCAACAGGCTTGCGACGATGATAGCCTCGAGCTCCGGGTCGAGCCTGTCCTGCAGCAACAGCGCGCCCTCGCTGAAGGGCTGGGACAGGGAGAAGCCCAGGCCGACGTTGTGATAGATTGCCCGGATGCGGTGCTCGTTCTTCTCGATCGCGGCGGAATATGGCACTTCCTGCTCGTCCTCACTCTCATCCTTGGCTTTGGTTTCCTCCTTCGTCTCCTCCCACCAATTGTCCTCGTCCTTCGCCGCACCGGCCACCGCCGCACCACCACCGGGATCACCTCCGAGCTCGACCAGCGTGTACCTCAGCAGGCCGTGCTCGACCGGGTGCACCTGCCACTGCAGCGTCCTCTCCTCGTCCAGCAGGCTCGGCACCGTGAACGTGAACCAGGCGTTGCGGCTGCTCCCGAACCTGCTGACCGTCGGCTGCAGGGGGAAGCTCGCCACCACCCGGATGCCCACGTCCGTCGAGCCGGGCGTCAGGGTGTAGGCCACGTCGCCGTCGGCAAGCGGCGCCTGCGGGGGCGGGATGGTCAGGCCGACCTCGGCACCGCCGTAGAGCATGCGCCGACTGACCGTGCCGTGGGTGACGAGCGCCGCGCCGGCGCCGAGGCTGCTCTTCCTGCGAGCTGCCGTCGTGCCGCCGGCGCCGGGGACGACCGGGCCGGACAGCGACTTGCGGCGCTCGAGCGGCTCAAAGTCGACGAGGTAGCTGACCTCGCTGGAGCCGCGGCCGTCGCCGTTGGGCTTGGGCATCAGGCCGAAGCGGGTCTTGAAGCGCGAGCTGCCGATGGGCTCGCCGGCGACCGTCTCCTTGTAGTCCTTGGTGAAGTCGTAGACGGGCAGGTGCGCGGCCTTGTCGTTGTGGCTGGGGACGTACAGGGTGCGCGAGGTGAGGTGGGACGGCGTCGGCGCCAGCTTGCGGCCCAGGAGGGCCTCGTACTGGTCCGGCGCCGAGAACTGCGTGTGGGCATTCCCCGTGGGCAGGCCCAGGCCGTGGATGGCCGGGTGGGCGTATGGGTAGGGATGCAGCCGCGGGTCGGTTGTTGTGTGATAAGCCGCTGCTATTGCTATCGCCGATGCAGTGGCCATCTTGACTATCCGGAGGGTTGTCTTTTATATCCGAGTCCTGCTGGGCTCTGCGAGGCTGGCACTCGGCTCAGGAACATCAAGGTGATGACTTATGTGCTCTCGATAGGCCTCCGCTATGCATTGGAGGAGACTAGATACGCTCGCTGCAAAGGGCGGGACAAGTGGTAGACTCATGAACACAGATCAAAGTCATACTCATCATGACTGTCATTATCTTTTGAGACACAGCAGTCATGGCGTCGAGCACGTGCTGCTAGAGCGCGGCTTGGACGTTCTTGGTATCGGTGCGGGGTCATCCCGTCCTTGTTTCTCGTCCTACTCCTCCATGGCACCAACATCTCCTACCTCACCGGCTTTGCCAACGGAGTTAGCCCGGCTGAGAGCGGGGCAAGTCTTGGAGTTAGACACGGATGGGTGGAGCTGCTTCCTCCGGGGCTGTGCTGACGCCAGCAACGGACTTTTGGGACGAACACCTTGTTGCGACAAGGTCAGGGGTTCCAGCGTCAACGTCAGCATTGGGGCAGCATTGCCTCGATGATTTGGAGAGCGTGTTAGCACTTGTTGGATGCCTTGCTGCGTAGTTACAAGCGGGCATAGAGCACATGTGCTTTGTCGGACAACGAGATTATATTTCCTTCAATGATTCAGCTCCTCTGCATGTGCATCGCTAAACCATGCCCAAAATCAGTCTGCAGATATTTATCCTCGCCCGTCAAAATACGTAGGTAAACGCCAGCCGCCTTGTCATAGCTGTCGAATGACGATGTTCATGCCGGAGCAGCGAAGGCAGCTTCGTAGTTACTGTCATCACAACACATCAAGAACTCCAGATATGGAATTGACCTTCCGGCCACTTGCCCTCCTGTGAGTCCTGCCAGGCCTGGCGCGCTCTCCACGCCGCCCAGCTCCCCAGCACGACAAACGCGAGCCAGTGCCCAAATGCTTTGTGTCTGAATTCCTGCCCACCGTTGAACCAGACCACGAGCCCGTCTACCAGTCCTGCGAGTGATATAATGGCAGCGAACGTTGTGATCGCATTCACATTGCCCTGGTATTGTAGCACGACGAGGGTCAAGCCGTAGGTGAGCTCACGGGAGCCCTTGATGAAAACGAAAGGCGAGTGACTCTGTGTCTTGGCGTTGGTCTGGGCATTTTCGAGAGGGAGGCCGAACCTCCCGTATTCCTGGCGTGGGCGGAGGAAGCAATGCAGAGCCAGCAGGAGCGTTGCGGCGCCGAAGACGTAGGCGAGCATCTGGTTCGAAGTGCTCATGAGACGAGGGGGATTCTCAGGGAGCATCATTTTGATGGTGTCTTATTTCATTGCCGATTCTGAAAGAATGTGGAAAGGAGGAGAGTGGCAGTAAGGTCGAAGCGTCAGCAGAGATGTAACTAGGATGAGAAGCTTCATCCTGCGGCACAGCAGAGTCGTACCACAACCGACAGTCAGTTGCTGCCTACTGCCTACTGCCAATCTGACATGTCCCCTTTCACATGACCCTAACCCCATTATACTTCATATTGATCAACACGTTGGATTTGTATCCAGTTAAGAGCGCTAGAGCCTATCCTTTACATTATCATATATTGTAAGCAAGGTGATAAAAATCGATGTTCTCCAAGAGCCCACACATACGAGGAGACAACCGCAGATAAATGACGTTAAGAATAACTCAATGTCAAATAAGTGACACCATGTTCCTAACATTGATACCAACCTTGAGTTGTAGCAGTTTGCAGTTGCCAGGTAAGTACTAGTAGGCTCTGGTTGCCTTATATTTACCTCTTGGACGATTGAGCCCAGCTGTCGACCGTTGTTCGCTCTGTGTGTCTCTTTCATCATGCTAGGTAGCCACTAACATTCACGACAATTTTCATCGGGTACCACCTAGGTATGTAGATGTGTGAGCGCCAGCAAGCGTCTGCCTTTGATATGAGTGCCGAAAGAATTGCTAGCGACAGCTGCAAATCACAACGGATTTAGTACCAACAGCGTTTGCTGAACCAATCACAGTTGGGCGCATTTGTTCTGTTGGGCCGTTAACGCCGAGAATGGCCTAAAGCCAATGCTGACGCCAGCAGCGAAAATGGGACGCCGCCCATTTCCGGACGTCAGCCAGGCCACAGTTGGGTTTAATCCTGCGGCGAGCGTCATCACACCTTGGAGCAATCTAATCGCCGACCGATGCGGATGTCACGCCTGCAAACAAAAATGCATGTTGGTGATATAGTCTTGGAGGATATAAATACACAAGTCCAATCTCATTCTCCCATCTCCAAAATACATGCCTCAACACTCCATCAACCAAACCAATTCATCATTGTCTCAAAGAACCTCAAGCCTAAAGTCGACCCAATTCCCAATTAGCTGCTCAATAGCCTAACAACACCATATCCAACATGTCCCAATTCACATCCCAGACTCGAGGAGAAGATGTCTGCGAGGCATTCCCCTCCCAGATCAAGGGGAGGACATTCCTCATCACAGGCACCAGTGCCAATGGCCTCGGCGCCAAATCCGCAACAACCCTGGCCAAATACTCTCCGGCCCAGATCATCCTCGTCTCCCGGTCCAAGTCCAAGGTCGACCCCGTCGCTGACGAGATCAAGTCTACCAACAGCGACATCTCCGTCAAATTCGTAGCATGCGAGCTGTCCGACCAGGAGTCCGTCCGCGGAGCAGCTGAGAAGATCCTTTCCGATGCCGAAATCAAGAAGATCGATGTCGTGGTCAACAACGCCGGTGTGATGGCGATTCTGGAATACCAAGTCGACAAGCAAGGCAACGAGATGCAGTTGAGCGCGAACCATATCGGGCACTTCCTTCTCACCAACCTCATCATGCCAAAGATTCTTGCTGCCGGCGCCGGTGCGCGAATCATCAACCTGACCTCTCTCGGCCACCGCATCGGGCCCTTCCGCTTCAACGACCCCAAGTTCAGCGGTGGCAAGGAATGTAAGTAGAACATGCTCAGATCTGGACTAGAATTTGTACTCTCTGTGCAATCAGTTCTAACGTACGATCCCAGATGATCCCTGGTCTGCCTACGGTCAGTCCAAGACCGCAAACGTTCTCTTCTCTGTCGAGCTGGCCCGCCGCCTGAAGTCCCGCAACATCCAGGCCTTCGCCGTGCACCCTGGCCTGATTCTCTCCACCAGCCTGGGTTCGCACATGGACTTCATGGCCCAGTTGCCGGCACTGCAGGCTGCTGCCGAGAAGAACAACCCCGGTCTTACTTGGAGCGCGGAGGGACATGCGAAGGATGATTCCCAGGGGTGCGCAACTTCGTTGGTTGCTGCATTGGATCCGAGCCTAGAGGCTGAGACCGGTGCATATCTTGAGGACTGTGCCGTGTCAAAGGCCTTGGAGTACGCGACTGATCTGGAGAATGCCAAGAAGCTGTGGGCTTACAGCGAGGGGCTTGTTGGTCAGAAGTTTGATGTCTGAATTTGGTTGACAAGTAACGCATGCATTATTGGAATATTTGATACGGATTCTCCTTCTTTGACATTATCGGCTTAATTTTATGTACATCCATGAATTTCCACTCTTCTAATAGAATCAATGTGTTTTACCCGCCAGAATCTCCTGTTCCACGGCCTCTCCAAGGCTCTTCGTGGTTCCCTTTCCTCCCATATCAGCCGTCATGACATCCGGTTCCGACCGTGCAAGGACAGCTTCGATGGCCTTGAGTACGACATCCGCAGCATTTTGGTGGCCCAGGTGCTGCAGCATCATGGAGCCAGCCCAGATCATACCGACCGGGTTCGCAACGCCCTTGCCAGCGATATCAGGGGCGCTTCCGTGCACAGGCTCGAACAGGCTGGGGAACTTCTTGTCCGGATTGATGTTTCCCGACGGTGCGATACCAATGGTACCGGTACAGGCCGGTCCCAGATCAGATAGGATATCCCCAAACAGATTGCTGCCGACCACGACATCGAAGATCTGAGGCCGCTGGACAAAGTGAGCTGTCAGGATATCGATATGATACTTGTCGACGTCCACCTCAGGATACTTCGCAGCCATCTCCTTCACCCTGCTATCCCAGTACGGCATCGTGATTGATATCCCATTGCTCTTGGTGGCGCTGGTGAGCTTCCTCCGCGGCCTTCCCTGCGCCAGGTCGAACGCATACTTGAGCACGCGATCAACACCAACGCGGGTCATGACCGTCTCCTGGATTACGGTCTCGCGGTCGGTGCCCTCGAAGATCTTGCCGCCGATGCTGCTGTACTCGCCCTCGGTGTTCTCCCTCACGATCCAGAAGTCGATATCGCCCGGCTTGCGGCCCGCCAGCGGGCACTTGACGCCCGGCATGAGGCGGCACGGCCGCAGGTTGATGTACTGGTCGAACTCGCGCCTGAACTTGAGCAGGCTGCCCCACAGCGACACGTCGTCCGGCACCTGGTCGGGCAGCCCCACGGCGCCGAAGTAGATTGCGTCATAGGCGGAGAGCGTCTCCTTCCAGTCTGGCGGCAGCATGTCGCCATGTTTGGCGTAGTAGGCGCAGCTGGAGAAGTCGAAGGATGTGAACTCGATGGGGATGTTGAAGAGCGATGCCGCAGCTTGGACGCTGCGGACGCCATGTGGCATGACTTCTGTGCCGATGCCATCGCCGGGGATGACGGCTATGCGGAGGGGTTTGGCGCTGTTGGTGGAGGACATTTTGGCTGACTTGAGTGGCTGAAGATGGCTATATTCATGTACAACTGACATGCGTGTCGAACACAGGAGTTAAAGTATTTGATTCTATTCGGCTATATGTGTTGCATGCGGCAGAAGTCTTACCCACCAGAGTCGGCCTCGGGGTTCTCGTAATTCGTACCATACAGTGATGTGGGGTTGTAGACAACGGACTTGAGATACACCGAGCGGCGATCCTGTCAGCGCATTGGCGCCTCCACCACCAAAGACGCCCCTAACTGGTATGCTAGTTGCTGTACACATGACAGTCAGCTGCGCGGTATGGACTGGATGCTGTGGACTAATTAAGTCGTTTCCTGCACGCTCAGCAACGTATTCAACGTGTAATAAATTCGCGGGTAATTTAGGTAAAAGTGAATGAATGCTTGTCGGTTCCAACCTCTCGAGGACCTCAATGCAACGGTGGGGTTAGGTACACGGATGGACCGGTTGTCGGCCTCGCGCCCTTCCTCAGGCTAAAGTATTCACCGGCCTTAAATCCACGCTACTGTGGTGCATACCTACAAACCGGAACGGTGATAGCTTGACGGATGGTGCACTTGGGCATTTGACTTCATCCCGGACAATTTATAAGAAAACGCCCCGCTCGACCCACTCTGGATCATACAAAGCTTTGCCATACAGTCATTATACGAATTGAAAGAGAAAAGCACCATGTTTGACGGCTTCGAACCCTTCCGCATCAAGACCTCCACCGAGCCGGAGGTGACCATCTCAGGCATCCGAAGCCCCGGCAGCAAGGACCTCCCGGCCCTGCTTCTCCTCCATGGCTTCCCGCAAACCCACCACATCTGGCACCGTGTGGCCTCACAGCTGACGGACTCGTACAACGTCGTGCTGCTGGACCTCCGGGGCTACGGCGCGTCGTCCAAGCCGGCGGGCGATGTCTCCAACTACGCCAAGTCCGCCATGGCGCGGGACTGCATCGCGGTCATGGACGAGCTGGGCTTCGGCACCTTCTTCGTCTGCGCGCACGACCGCGGCGCCCGCGTCGCCCACAAGCTGTGCGTTGACTTCCCGGAGCGCGTGCGCAAGACCATACTCCTCGACATCTGCCCCACGCTGGCCATGTACGAGGCCACCAACCTCGAGCTCGCAAAGTCGTACTTCCACTGGTTCTTCCTCATCCAGCGGAGCCCGCTGCCCGAGACGCTGATCCTGGGGAGCCCGCGGATGCTGGCCGAGATGTTCATGGGCGGGCGGCAGCGCGACGGGACGGCCATCTTTGCGGCCGAGTGCTTCGAGGAGTATGTCGCCAGTCTGAGCGATCCCGACACCGTGCATGGCATGTGCCAGGACTACCGGGCTAGCGTGACGCTGGACATGGAGGAGCAGAGGCGGGACTTGGCTGAGGGGCGGCATATCAAGTCTCCTCTCAGGGTGCTCTGGGGTGACGTTGGCGTCATCGAGAAGGCATTTGATGCTCTTGCTGAGTGGCGCAAGGTCACGGACGAGGGGGTGAGTGTTGACGGCCATGCCGTAGACTCAGGCCATTACATTCCAGAGCAGGCGCCTGATGTTGTCGTTGCTGAGATAAGAGATTTTCTTGTTTGATCTAATCAACCAAACCGCCTAGCATCAGCAAAAACACAAGCCTTGTTGAACCTATCCTCGCTACACATCTAACATGAGCCTCATGATGATATCCTTAAACTAGGAGAAGAAGAAGAGGTCATGGAAATGCCTTCTCGATAATCTGAGGCTGCAACTGTTCGTAGCCGGCCAGAGCCTACCCCTACCTCCCGACTCCGAAGACCCAAACCAGGGCTGCTACAATACTTGCAATGAACGACGAAAAGAAGAACACCTGGCATAAGTGTTCCCACCATAGCCATGCTTGTCAGCGTAGCAAAGAGACCTCCTGCTGGCGTAAAACCGCCATACATGAAAGATTGAAATGCCGCTGCGGCCGTACCTATGTTCAACGCGCATGAGCAGCAATACAAAGCCAGAAATTTACTGGAGGTGCTCACCTGCAATTATGCCTGCGGGGCCGAATCCGAGTGACATGATTATTGTGCATACGATGGTAAATGTGATCCACCAAGCAAAGATAACCGCCAAGACATCTGGCGATCGTTAAATTAGTTGCACTGGAGATTGATGACCGCACGAGGCAGGCTTACGAGGTTGGGAAAGCCAGTCTGAGAAGGCGGCCCACGTCTCACTGAGGTTGGGCCACGCAATAGAGATCCCAGCAACGTACTGCTGCAACGTATCCCACATGTTGCCATCGAATGGGTTTTGGGCAGTGAAGAGAAGGACCGCCATGCTGAGGTTCTGGGTGAAAAGTTCGAGACCTTGATTAACCGCAAGTTCAGGAGTGACGGCTATGCAGGGGAGAAGAAAACACAGATGGTCAGGAGACTGAAAGTTTTCCGGGGCAGGGCGTTCTGCAGCACGTTATATGTTACCCGAAGGCCGGTCTGTTGGTGCATGGCTGTGACAGGAGGTGTGACAGGAGGTGACGCAGGCGTCCAGCCGAAATCCCAACTAGAGAGCCGCCAAAGCGGCGCATAATGAGTATGCCTATCTGCCTAATCCCGGCAGCTGGCCATGAACATACACTGTTGGCAGTAGGCCTCAAGCAGGCCGGGGCGGAGCATAAGCAAATCGAATGGCTTCGCCAAAGTTCTAATCAGGCTGGGACGGCCTCCTGCAGCAACCTGCACAGATTACTAAGGCAGCTGAACCAACTCAACACCTCCCGCGAATGAAACAAACTATTACACACTACTTCGATATTTAGGATTAATCTTTATTAATGCACGCACTCGCTCCTAAACTTAAGTGCAAATACGTATGTGAAGAAGTGACTAGCAAAACGCATCCGGCCACCCTAAGGCTTGAAAATAAAGGTGCTTAACTAACTGCTAAGGAGTTATCTACTTAAGTACAAGACTGCCATTTAATAATAACAATACCCTACTATGTTAGTTGAAGTGAGGCCTTGGCACATTGTCATAGTAAGGTACAACTATGACATTCTTGTCGTCCGTGGCACCGACCATGGCAATGGTACCAGGGTGTATAGGGTGTGAGCTCGTGATGATTTCCAAGAGAGCTGGCTTGCCCGACAACGCACTCTGAGCCAGCCTCTTGACAGCATCATCGATATCTGCTGGCTTGCTGACGCGCTCAGAGGCGCACCCCAGGCCCTTAGCAACAGTGCTGAAATTCATCTCCTGTGAAAGCATTGCCGCGGGCCGTGCCTTTGTAATAGGCCCGTAGATGATCTCCTGGCCGCCTTGGCTCATACCCCAGCAGTAGTTGTTACAAACGATGGTGAGGATCTTGGCGCCGAAGCGGGCGTAGGTGTCGAGCTCCGCAAGGTGCAGACCTCCGGAGCCATCGCCTTGGATGTTTACCACCAGGCGTTCCGGCTCAGCGATGCTGGCGCCTAAGCAATAGCCCCAACCATTGCCGAGGAACCCGAGATAGCCACAGCTGAAGATGACTCTTTTCGGTCGGAGGAACTCGCTGGTTATGACAGTCCAGCTGCCCACTTCGCCGCCATCTGTTCAAGCACAAGCAAGTTAGCGATTGAGAGGCTCGGGAGTTTGAATGAATTCTGAGCTAAGTGCTGAGAGATACGCAGGCGTACCCTCAAGTGCGACTTACCTATGGACAGCGTTGCATCCTCGGGCAATGAAGAAAAGGCCTTCTTGAGTGCGTGGTATGGATGCACTCTACCGGGCTCATATTCTTCGGCATCCTTTTCCTGGGGCATCGGCCCAGCCTTCAGCGCCATTGTCGTCTTGACCCAGTCGCCTGGTGCTGTGTACTTGACGGCGCCCAGGCCGCTAGCCAGAGCATCCATGGCCGGCTTGGCATCTGATGTGATCCCAAGGTGGATTTCCTGGGCCCTGCCGATTTCCCCAGAGTCCACATCCACCTGGATGTACTGGCATACATCGGGGTGGGGCGTGCAAGGAGAGCCTCGACCCCCCAGGAAGAAACCTGTCCGCGCCGCGAGCAACAACACAAGATCCGGAGCCGGATGGTTGATTGCCTCAAGGCCACTCAGGAGGTTCGCAACGCCGCCCCGGAGAGGATGTTTGTTGGGCAGAGCACCCGAGTACTCGTTGCTATGGAATGTGGGGATTCGAGCTTTCGCAACGAAATCGTGGAAGGATGAATCCTCTTCAAGACCCCTGGCTCCTGCGCCAGTGATAATGACCGGGCGCTTCGACGCAGAGAACATTTCCACGGCCTTCTGGATAGCCTGGGGATGCGGACCTGCTTGATAGGACGGCTTCATCCGGATCGAACCCCAAGAGATGTGTTTGGGCTGCACTGGGGAGAAAAGAACGTCGATGGGGAAATCAATCAGTACCGGCCCTGGTGGACTCGCTGTAGCCACATGAAAGGCGTGGGACACCAGTCTCGGAATTTCTTCAGCGTGTACACAGCGGTGACAGAAGCGCGTGACAGGTTTGCTGACGACGATCTGGTCGTGGAAGCCCTGCAGGACGTTCATCTCGGCGTCGCGTTGCGGCGCAGAGCTGGTGACACAGAATATGGGGCTCCTATCGGCCATGGCAGTTGAAAGCCCGGCCAACGCATTGCCGAATCCACTATTCGCAGTGAAGAAACATACGCCGACTTGGCCCTTGACCTTGGCGTAGCCCTCGGCAGCCTGCACGGCGACTGTCTCGTGCCTGGTGTCGATGAGGCGGATTCCAGAATCCGATGCCCCCATGAGGAAAGCGTCGAGATGCCCTCCGTGCAAGCCAAAGGCGACGCTCACACCTAGGTGAACTAGGGTCTGAGCCAGGAGGTCGCCGCCACTGAATTCTCTACCCTTCGGAACGGATAGCTCAGGGTAGCCTGGATAGCTCTCTTTTGCTGCTGTGGACGCCATCTTGAGGCCTGGAATGAGTGAATCAATCGGTTGAAGGTGCTTACGTCCAAAGACACAATATATCAATCTACAAAAATGAGGTACTTGGGTGTGGTATGCAGCATGAGCCAGACCAAGTCAAATACATAAAACATTAAGAACTGCTTTCTTTGAATCCCACTATGCATTATTTGTATTTGGAAATGCTCGCAGCAAGTCGCCGACTCTAAGAGGTAGCCTGCTAGCTTATGCATATTGCCTAGGCAGTCTAAAGCTTGGCTTGCGGGTTGACATGTCAGGAGGGGTTTCCCCTCACCAAAACAAACCACCTCATGATCAACCTCGGCATATTATGTGTTGATCGGGCTTGGAATACGTGTACTTCGCTGAATGACGTTCAGTTCCCCTCAACCGACATTTATCTCCGGGTTGTGTGTAACCCGGGAGGAGAGGGGTTATGTGGCAGTGCCTCCTCGGCCCTCATGACTTCGATGAGACAACAAACACGCAATGCTATTAGAGCTTATTAATCAATACTAGGTATCAGGAATTCCTGAATATCAGATGCGCGTCTGTGATTGAGAACATCTCTTCCCTGCAACTTGGACAGTTTCGACGACACCAACAATAAACTGCAACCTACGCGATGCCCGAATTCACAGTATCCGATGGCGACTTGGCCCCGTTGAACGGTAAGGTGGTGCTTTTAACAGGATGCTCCAGTGGTATCGGTCTAGCGACAGTGAAAGAGCTGCTCGCAGCCGGAGCAAAGGTCGTTGGAGGAGATTTGTCTGAGCCGAAGTCCGCTGTTGACAGTCAGGACTTTGAATTTGTCCAGGCCAACGTGACTGACTGGAAGGCATTGTGCAATCTCTTCAAGAAGGCTGTAAGCAGGTTCGGGCACATCGATCATGTGTTCGCGAACGCTGGTGCGTATTGCCCGACAAAGCACTCGGGCTGGAGAAACGCACTTCCACTGACCCGTGACATCAGGCATTGCCCATCAGATGGACTTGCTCTCAGATGAGTTCGATGAGGATGGCGAGCTCAAACGGCCAAATCACATCGTTCTCGATGTGAACCTTGCAGCCGTCGTTGACACCGTCAAGCTAGGACTCCATTATATCCGGAAAAACCCCAGCGGTGGCAGCATTGTAGTGACAGCGTCGGCCTCTTCGTACCAGCGGTATCCCTGCTACGACTACACATCTGCGAAGCACGGTGTGCATGGTCTGGTCCGGGGGCTGGTCTCTGAGATTGGACCCGAAACAGACATTCCTGTCCGCCTCAATGGCATCGCACCGAGCTGGACTATTACTGGGCTTGTGAATGAAGCCCTTTGTGCCAAGGCAGGGGTTCCAGCGCAGGGACCTGAGATTGCAGCACGATCAGCCCTTATTCTCATGGCCGACAGTTCCCGACACGGCGAGATAATCCATTCATCCCAGGGAAAATATTTTGAGCTCGAATCGCATCTGCTCAGGGCTACGAATGATATTCTACAAGAGGCACCGACAGTTGAACCGGTAACGAGATCACTTTCAGATGAATATCGAGCAATATTTGCAGCGTTCCAGAAGGAACAGTAGGACTAAACAGTACTATATGTATTTCCTTAATTTACCCGCGTAAATCGGTGTATGGAGATAGCTTGCAGATGAAAACCGCATTTCCTCTGACACAATGTATAATTATAACGGAGCAGCAAGCTTTAAGGGCTCGTATCCGGAGATCTCTCCACCTCGGAGTATATCTGGCCGATGTGATTACCTAGGTAGTTACAAGTCCTTTGTTATACACCACCAAATTGACTAGTGGAGTTTATAACAGTAAGTAGATGTTTGAAACTCTTCATCTTGGCGAGATTCTATGCCTATCCTGCCTAAAACCACTCTTAACAGCGATGTGCTTTTACCAATCCCTGCTCTGTGACGTCTTGGAGGTAGCTCCATTTCGCTCTTTGATTCTTTGATATAATAATCACCCGCACAATATTCAGAGCTTCATGATTTCTGCTTCCCATTCTGGAACAACACCCTTGCATGGGAACTTGACACCAACTGAGACTCCACGGCTAAGCTGGGCGGTCCCGCCGTCATATTGCCATCCCATGGAAGCCTTAGCAAAGTGGCGTGACAACGGCTCGTTGGATTGCGCTTATTCTGTATTATCTACATGCACTGCACCCTCCCTCCACCCCCATGAGAGGGCTGGTGTGAAGTTATTGGCCTTCAGCCTCCCACGCTGGCATGATGCAGAAGCACGAGTTTGAGCGCAGATATGCGGATCATAACCGAGCTGCTGTGACACCACACCCCTCCCCGGCTTTTGAGATGTGCTCTTTTCTGCCCGATTCCATTTTTCCACTTGCCACACACAAGTCCAACGCACTCTTGGTTATCAGCTAGACTTAATGACATTGCCTTCCCACTCAGAGAACAGCAGAACCCGCACTACTCAACTCTTCTCATTATCTCCCAAGCATTTCAATCTGTTCGAAACGGAGTTTACTACCCGAGACCGTCGCATGCGCATCAGTGCCTGATCTGCCCAATCGGATACAACTGCCCATATTTAAATTCGCGCTCAGATCATGGCTCACTGCACCTTCTGCTCTCGCCTCATCGAGCATATCGTAACTCCTGCCCGCCATCCACTCGATCCTGATTATAAAAAATGGGAAAAGTGGGAATTAGAGAAAAGCTGCGACTTCGAAGACTCCATGCCACAGTGTGCGCTATGCAAATTTCTTTATCAGTCAATGGAGGTGCTTTTTGGAAAGAAAAGCTCTAGACTGGACAGAGAAGGGAAGCTGCGTAAAATAATGTTGTTCAATCGCTACGGCTACCGCTACCGCAAGGGAGAACCGGACGATCCCTTGTGCCGGGTTCACCTATATTTTCCGAGTCTTGGCGATTACAGTCCAATGGCTCATTCCAGTTTTGCTGTCTGGACTGAGACGGGCATGTGCCTTTAATTCTAGAGATGGATCGATGCTTTACTGCGAGAGAGTTCGCACGAGGTCCTTACAATTCCTCAGGGGATGCCGCTGCAGCTACCATTACCACTCAGCCACCGGTTCATAAGGACGAATCAGAAATCGATCAGATATGCGCTCTGGTACGCAACAGGCTGTATGAATGCATTACAACACACCCCAAATGTGGACAGAGCAACACTTCTGGGACGGAACCCAGGCTGCCAGCGCGGGTCCTTTACGTCAAGAATGCTACCTCGTACGACAACTCAGTCAGACTTGTACAGTCTTGTGGCACAACTGGGGCATATTGTGCTTTGAGCCACTGCTGGGGTCCTGTTGAAAGACAACCGATTCGGACGCTTGCGGGAAACATTCAAGACCATTATTCTGGCATACTTCTTACTGCCTTGCCTCGAACATTTCAAGAGGCAGTTTTTTTGACTCAAAAGCTGGGTATCGATTACCTTTGGATCGATTCATTATGCATTCAGCAGGACGACGACGACGACTGGAGACGTGAAGCTGCTTCTATGGGTGTATTATATCAACAGGCCACCTTGGTCATCGCGGCAGCTGGATCTGAGGACCCTACAGGAGGTCTCTTTGTATGTGAAAGGTCTTCGGAAACTGCACTGAAGCTCCCTTACGCCGGCAATGGCAATGAAGATGGTGGAGCATTCAATCTGGTGTTTCAAGGCCCATCCATGGATCCGTTAGACGTCCACAGCAGCCTCTTGAAGAAAGGTGCGTGGGCTTTTCAAGAGTCTTATCTTTCTCGACGCATCGCTCTATTTACGGGCCATGGAGTAGATTGGCGATGTATTGCATGCGAATGCGACGAATCTGGTTGCCACACTGACTTGCAATTATATGAACACGAGAACTGGTTTTTGCTCTTGGAAGTCTCCTCTGAGAGAAAGCTTACATGGCCATCTGATCGCCTGCCTGCCCTGCAATTGATAATCAACGATGAAGGCAGAAGAAGGGATGACAAATTTCTGAGAGAAGGGATGTGGGAGACAGAGATCCCAGAGCACCTTCTATGGTATCGGGGGTCAGTCTTGGCTTACGGGGATTCTACACTCCCATCATGGTCTTGGGCAGCCACGGAAGGCTCAAAGAACTGGATATGTACGTCAATTTATCACTATGGGCTCCAGTACGATCACAGCTGCGTTGTAATCAAGAAGTTTCAACCGGCTCATCTGTCTGTATCTGATGATCTGGTCCAGGGCCAAGTCGGATGGGCACAAATGAATGTCTGCTGTATGACTAGATGTCAGGACTATCTTCGAGGTAAAGAGGGACCTCAGCTATACTTGGCTCAGACCCATCTTCTGCAAAGCGACGACGGTACTCTTGGCTTCGCAACACTGGACCGGAACGAAGAACCCTCCAGCTCGACTGATCACAGCACTATGGAGTTTTGTATTTTGAGCAAGATGAAAACTTCAGAGGTCTCCGAGAAACCGGGTTTTGCGATCCCAGAGTTCTTCTCTGAGCCCTGTCTTGATGTGAGTCTTCCGCCCGCGAACATTAGTTGAAAAGACACGTCCTGACTTGATGATAGAACTGTATCGACCTTTGGCAGGAGTTTCAAAACGTAGACTGCGTTCTTTGGGCACTCGTGCTGGAACCGGTTGTGGACAACAAGGAAACGTATAGACGAGTTGGACTGTCGATGTTGTTTCCTCGTGTCCAGACTGCAGGGTATTCCAAATCTGCTTGTTTCACATTAAAGTAGACACAGCAGATTTTTCAACGACTTCATCTATATCTAAGTTTTCTACGTTGCTGTAGCATATTACTGCGCATGCAGCGTTATAAGATCGTTCATGGAAATACATCAATATAGGCTTATAAGTGCTTTACAAGCCACCTTTCTCCCTACCACTTGTCAAAACCGGAATCCTTTGAGAGGTCGACGAAAGAAGTCTCCGAAGCCGACGTGGGAGTCTGGTGTTCGCGGTAGAGAATAGCCACGCGTGTGAGATGGAAGCAGCTTTATTCTTCGTGCTTTGTTAAACGGCACTTTCCACTTCCTCAATGTGAACCCTCCCACCACGAAGCCGAAGAGTGAGTTCGCCTTGACCTGTACAGAATGGCGAAGTCGCGTCCTGGCAAATTTTCACTGCTAATACGAGCCAAAGATCTCCAACATGTTGGCATCCTCGAGTCTGAGCGCAAGAGTTGGGACAGGATCGACGAGGCATAGAATAGTATTCGGGGCTGTTGCGTTGCTTTCCGGAAGATGTTTCTGAGGTGCGCTTGGAGCCGCGCGGTTGATTGTCTCACAAGACACCTCTTGAGAGATATCAAACCTGCTGCATCAAGGTGTTTGGCCGTCCTTTAGCCACTGAGAACATGACTCTCCTCCGGAAGGGGCGGAAGATATACTTGGTGTCATTCCTTGGCGTCGGCACTCAAAGACTTGTGAGGCTTTTCAGCGACCATCATCAGATTCCTCGGTGAGATCTTGTACTCAAATATGGGAACAATGTCCACATTGCAAGCTCCATGCTCGACGAGGAACCAGTAACGGTCAAGAGCAATGACGCTCTCGATTGCTTTGCAGCACAGCACACTCAGTGTCCACAGGATGGAGATCCTGCCCTCATGGCTCGCGTACCGAGTTTCATACTCGGCGATGTCCATCTCCGATATCGTATTCTGTTCGACACCTAGACATTCCATCGCACGTCTTGTAAAGCTCTCGAAGTTGGCTAGGTCGCTCTTCCTAATTCCCCAGTTCGGCTTGTCGTCGATATGAATACCTTTATCATGAAATATCTTCTCCAGCAAAGAACGGTAAAACTGCTTCCTGGAATACATGGACTTGGGCTTGTTCAAGTCTGTCCTCGCCCAATTGTTGGGGGCCTGGCAACCCGCCATTAAAGCCGTGGGCGTCAGAGTGACGTTCCGCTTCCGCAGCCGCTCGCTTATGGGAAAGCCATCCGGGTAGCTGTCTGAGCGTATCACGATGTGGTTATAGCAGCACCCAACGGCTGCCAGGTGAGTAATGGAGAGGCATGTAGCGAAGTACCTAAGCATGTGCTCGGACAGATTGCCGCAGGCGTGAAGTCCCACGAGCAGGCACTTCTGCCCTGCCGCCCAAACATCTATCTCCGAAGCCAGTGTCATCGAGCCGTCAATATATCGAACAAAATGTTGTATCCTGTTTTCTGTGATACCGAGAGACGTGGCAAAGGCCTTCGATCCGGCAATCTGAGACTCACTGCCGTCGATGGCCAGGACACGGAGAGACGGGAAGAGGTAGGCAAGCGTGTTTGAGAGATAGCCCTGCCCAGAGCCCATCTCCACGACGTGAGTGATGCCGCTCGCTTGGCAAATGGAATGGATGTAAGGCGCCGCAACAGACACCTCGTTGAGTTTCTTTGTCTCCATGCGGTCGGTGAGAATTTCGGGAAGGGTTAAAACCGGCCCTTTGCGCTGACTTCGAGGCAAAGAGACCGACCTCAGCTTCTCCAGCCATGATACAAGGGACCCGGGCCGGCTCGTAGCGCTCTCATGGCTACCAGACTGACGTGTGCGTTCATCTTCGTCGATGCTGTCGATCATGTCTCGCTGTGCGATTCGAGAATCTGGAATTGAGTCCCAATGATTGGTCCATTCTGCTGGAAGCTTGCTCCAGGCATCTTCGATGAAGGCATCATTCACGTGGACGCCGCCTGTGATCTGGCGCACCAGTGGAGTTTGAATGAAATCGGTCAGGTCGTCAGTCAACTGTTCGAGGCTGTCATAAGACTGAGGCAGGTCGGGCGCTTGCATCTTCCGCCACGGGCTGAAAAGTTGATCCGGGTGAAACTAGTAGAGGAGACATGGAGATCTACCAACTTTGACCCGCGATTGAAAGACTGCTGGGCGCATATGCACTGTAGCACACGACCTGCATTTGGTGTTTGTCCACTTGTTGACGCTAATTCTAGATTTTCTTCAGACCCTAACCCTATGGAAATTGTCCCAGCTGTAGTTTCCCGGGGCCGGGGTGGGAGGGATCCTGGGATTGTGAACTAACTGCTCAAGTGCTCATAAGAGGATGCAGGCCAGATCGCGTAGTACTCGTTGGGTGTCTGTCAACATCCACGACACGGGTGCTTCCACCGTCCGCCCATCCATCCACCCACCCACTCAAATAAACCCACCGGCCACGCTGTCTTCCCATTTTGCACTCTAGCGATGGGCTCACTTGCCCACCTGGTATCGTCTACAGCAAGAACCTCCCTTTCAAGAACCATGTCGTCTCTTGCCCCTGGACACCTTCTCCAAGGTGCTAAATGGGGCTACCGCATAACAGATGCAATTAAAGGTGATGACACACACGCATCCGCCGTCTTCAAAGCCAGCGTTGTCCCACGGGAGAATAGCCCCGATACACCACAATGGTTTGTTGTGTTCCAGCGACTGTATCTCAGTATTGACACTGATCCATCCAACCAGGGCTGTCATCAAGAAAGCTTTGCCTGGCGATAAGATTGCCTCGGAGAACCTCGAGCGTGAATGTCGAGGTTATCGCCTGCCTGGTGTCGCGTCGGCGATATGCTTCCGGCAACTATATGATGTGATTGACAGCCACACCATCGCTTTGGAGTGGCTAGACTCGACCCTTGCGGATGTGAGGTACCAGCCCAACACGCGCACCTATGCCATTATCAAGGCGGTTGTGAAGGAGACGTTGACCAGTTGCGTCGTGCTCGACCGCCAACGACACGTTAACACAGGTGAAATATCTGACTATAATTGATTGAAATTTGCTAACCAACAAAGATTATAAGCCTGCTAATACCCTACTCTCTGGCGTCGACACTGGCTGTATCACTGCCAAAGTAGCAGACCTGGGACTCGGTATGCAACGGCTAAGCAAGATCAATGTCTCCAAGTTACTAACAGGTTTGTAGTTGTTCCGGATGGCCATCTTTACAACGCCCAGCCTTACGCCATGCGTGCCCCTGAAGTCTTCTTGGGCCAGCCATGCACTAAGCTATCGCAGGTATGGGCAGTTGCCGCACTGCTGCTTTGCTGGATCAAGCCCGGCGTCTTGGGGGCATGGGACAGCCCTCATCATCTCATCAACGATGCTTGGTGTATGGCAAAACTCAGACGGCTCTTCCCTGGGTGGCATATCCCTACCCCTGATCAAGTTGAGCGACCGACCCTCAAATCCGCAGTCGAATCTGCAGTACTTTTGAGTGAAGATGAGGAAGGTCCGCAAATGGATTGCGCCTTTCGCAGAAGAGATTCAAAAACTCAAGATACCGGACCGGTTAAGAGACCTTCTTCGCCTCATGTTGGTGGTCGATCCACGCCAAAGGCCCTCCGCCTCGGCTGTGCTCGAGTCGAAGGAGTTCAAAGCGTTCCAGATTTCAGGAACCCCAGAAGAAAACCATTGCTCCTCGGACAGGGCGGACTAAAATTGTCCACCTCTCAGCTGGAACCCGAACTGAACATGATCTAGACTTGCACTGTGGTTGCAACAGCTAATGAATCATTTCAAGTTCTCATCTTTTCACATCAGTATCGTCGCAGTATTACAAGCGGTTCATAGTTTCAAGGTCACGACGTAGAATGAAACAGTCTGCAAGGTTGGGACAAGTTTTTGTGAATTAATCATCATGTAGTTAGCAAGGCTCATTATGCGAGAGACTCCAAAAAGTTGATCCCACGTCCTCATGCTATCTTATCAATTCAAATGCCATCTCGGCCCCTGGGTATCAAGACCACCTCTAGTAGCGCCTGCGGCGGATCTTCTTGGTCTGGGCCGCAGCGGTGGTGGCGTTGGCGGCCAGGCCCTTGACACCATCCTGCATCGCCTTGAGGAGCGACCAGTCGTTGCTGTCCTCAGCGAGGGACCAGGCCATGACACCGCCCAGGCCCTTGGCGGCGACGATGTCGGTGAACTTCTGGGTGAGGAGCTCTGGGGTGTCGTAGGTCCAGAAGAGCCCCGCCTCGGCGTCGACGTACCACTGGCCGCCGTTCTCGGTGTCGGTCTGGCCGTTGGTCAGGGCATCGGCGAAGGACTGCGCCGTGGTCTTCTTGTCGCCGTCGGTGCAGGTGCCGTACTGGCCCTGGCAGCCGGTTCCACAGTGGCCGGTGGTGTCGCCGCAGAACCCGTACTGGGAGCAGCAGGCGCCGCCAGTAGCGGAGCCAGTGCACTGGAACGTGGTGCCGGTGCCGCAGGATCCGTCGGTGGAGGAGGTCAGGGTGCTGGGGTCGACCGTAACGGGGAAGGAAGAGGCCTCGAAGGTCACGGCGCCAGAGGTGCCGGTGTCCTGGCCCTGGGCGTCCTCGGCCGGGGCGAGAGGGCAGCCGATGGGCTGGGTGCAGGTGGTGTTGGCGGCGAGGGTGAAGTACTTGGCGTAGAAGGCCATTCCGAGGTTCAGCTTGGAGGGGGCGAAGCCGCGGTCGATGTAGGCCTGGATGGCGTTGAGGGAGCCCTGGATGTCGGTGTGGTGCTTGGTGTAGTTGTCGCGGCGGTTGAGCAGATCGTACGTCATGACGTTGACGACGTCGACAGCACTGTCGATCAGGGGAACGGACTCGGCAGTGAAGGCGATCATGTCGCGCTCGAGGCCGGGCACGGCGATGGACAGCTCCCTGCCGCCAATGGCCTGCTTGATGGAGCCGAGCAGCTGAGGGAAGGTCTCGATCTCGGAGACGAGGTCCGAGTTGGGGACCTGCTTGTAGTCGTAGCCGTTTCCAGCGGGGTACTCGTGGTCGATGTCGATGCAGTCGAAGCCGTGAGCATCCATGGTGGCGGCAATGTTGTTGGCGTACAGGGTGCGGGACTCCTCGGTGGCGAGGCCCAGGCGGAAGCCCTCAGTGTCGCCCCAACCTCCGATGGCCAGGCACACCTGGGTACCGTTGTCGAACATGGGGCGGATGTCGGACAGGTTCATGAATGGGGTGTAGGTGCCCACGGGGTCGGAGGCGAAGAGAGATGAGTTGGCAAAGGCCGTGATGACATGAGTGATGCCGGCAGTCAGCGTCTTGTTGGGCAGCACTGCCGTGTGGTACCTGTGTTTTCATGTCAGCATCCATCATGAGCCTCAATATCCGGCGTCTTTCGCCTGTTGGTTGGGCTTACTGGTCAAAGTAGAGGGCGTAACGAGGAGCAGCAGTGGCAGCGTTGGCAACTCCGGCCGCGGCACCAACGGCGCCCAGCCCGGCGCCCAGAGTCGATGGGCAAACCATGGTGGAGGTGAAGTGAAAGTGAGATGAGAACAAAGAGTGGACGACTCAGTGGACAGCAGAAATGCTCGCTCGACTGGTCTGTTGCGGTATAAAAAGGACACCTGAAAGAGGGAAAGAATGAGTTGGTAGTAAGCCTGTGATGGGACGAGGAAGTTCTCGAGGAAGGAGGCGCGGACTCAGAGGCCTATTAAATGAGAAGTGACGAGGCCGTTGACGGCGGGTTGAGTTGTATGCCTCATGCCTGCATGTCACCCGGGGCCCTGACTAGCTTGGGAGTGGGAAGGACCGACGATCTTGGATCCTACCTCAGGGGTTTGCTTGCCTACCGATCCTTGCCGCCCGCCCGCCTGTGTTTGTTTGTTGGCTGCTTGCTGAGCCGCAGAGGAATAGGATTTAGAACTATATCGGGGCTAAACCACCATGTCACTGCGAGCCTGCTGTGCGGAACTCCTGATGCCTGTTTGGTGGCGCGACATGGACTACCCCTGGGTGCTACCACTGTACCCCGAACGATTTTACTGCAAAAGAAAGAAAAGGAAAAAGAAACTCTGGGCAGAATGGGGCCCAACCGGCACCCGCATGGTCGGATGTGGATTAGTCGCTGGCAGTGCCACACCATGTCTGAACCTTATTGTCGGGTTTGTAGGGCAGGCGGGAATAAAAAGCAGCCCGAGCCCCTGGGTGTCGGACAAGGCCGTCCCCAACTGACAAGGTTAACCCTCCGCTTAAGCTCGACCCAGTCCCAGTTCACGGATGCAAGATTCAATGCTTCACTTGAAGAGAGTTCGCGTATTTTTGGCGCGCATGTGTGCAAAATCTCGTGTGGAATGCCCTCATTCGTTTAATGTTTGCCCCATCTCCGAGATGTTTGCACGCATATGCCCGTTGATGCCCCCATTGCCACTGCACTGCACCTGGCAAATGTAAAGCGCCACTGGCAGGGCATTGAATTTGCCCGGCGCGCTTGCTAGGCAATCACCCACCCCACTGTCGTACTACCTCCGAGACTGCCGAGTACAACGGTTGGTTAATTCATGCGCTATGGCTGACTGCAGCACTGCATAGCTCTCTCTGGGTACTTGTTACAGTTCCCCAGACGCCACCTCCAGATTCTGCAGGCAGGCTGAGCTCAGGGGCACACCCAATCGATCAAACCACAATCGGCTGTCGGTTTGGCAGCTCGGGCCAGGGTTTTGACTCAAGGTTCTGGGCGATTCCAATTCTGGAGTCCCGCTTCCACGCGGACCTCTGCCTCTTGGACGCCAAGTTCGACTAAGGACCAAGAGAGGGTGGGCCGCCGTTCATCTTGCTCAAAATGAAACACCAGCAAAGAGTCAGTATCTTCATAAAATAGACTCTCGCTTATTGCGTGTCATTCCGGCGCACCGTAACAGCTACTCCGTACTTGGCAACCGTCAACCAAGGGGACTCTTCGATGGGAGCGGGGCCAGCGGGCGAAGTCGTTCGTCCGATCAAGCAAACTTTGGTCAGTGCATTGTCAAGAGCCATAAACATGACAAACAAACAGGTTGCCTCTGTGGCCGGCGGCCACTGCCACTGGCTACCGCTCCCTTCGCAAACTCTATGTCAGGATATATTTCGGCCGAGGCATATTTCTGCTGAGGCATATTTCTGCTTGAAAGCTTGTATAGAGACTGCACGTGTCGGTCTGTCATCAATGGATCTCCCGAAGTATTCCCTTGAACATCACTGGCACTGCTCATCAAGTCCATGATGTCCCTGTACAGGGTATACTTTGTTTTCAGACTCTTTGGCAAGACCGTCCATGTGCCCCACAAAATATCAACACGAGCCCAACCATTGACTCAATCGCCTCTTTGAACCCCAGATTCTCTTTTGTGATGCAAGGCTTCAACCACTTCACTGGATACTAACGTTACGTAAAAGAGCTATTTAGAGTTGCCAGGTTCAAAACCCGACAGCTTTGCTTTGTATACGGATGACCATGAGCTCAAGCATTGCCCCCCCTGTATTTACGCCTCGGTATAGTATCATGATGTCAACCTCCTGATACGCGGATGGCACTTCATATTCATTTAAGCCCCGAGTGTGACAACCTTCTGCGATAACTATGATATGAGATCTGCGAGAGGCTTAATGGACCAGAAGGTTACTGTAACTTCTCCATGACCACACAGACCCTGCCATCTAGAGAACTTTCGTCCCCTGCCTGCAGGTCTCACTCCCGATTCTGTGCCCTGAAACATGGAAAGGCGCGAAAAGTAAATTTTGGAAAATGTTTCAAACTGGGCCGCATTGTTTTCAACGTGACCAAGGGGAGTGCTCTGGTGCTGCAGGCTGTGAGCTATGCTCATCCGCAGGTAATTCACAACGACGTCCTCCTGTCGGGTGAGCGACCGGCCCGACGTCCTGGGACACGGAGGCTCCTCCCCTCGCGCAAAATGGGCAGTATGGAGAAGGAATGACGACTACAGGGACTGACTGGAAGGCAATTCGGAGACGACGACATTGAGGCACCCACGGGCAGCGTGAGCAACAGTACAGAGAAGCCCAACAGGGGGCAATATATACCACGCCGCGATACTTCCCGATATCGACTGACCGGTACGATCAAATTGGAAATACAACTGCCGACTGGCTGAAGTGTAGGAGTAATACAGCGCTGCAGCGTTTGAAGCAATTTATAATACACTCACCCGGAAAGCTTGAAGGTAGCCTCCGAATTAGGCGCTTTGCTTGCCGCTGTGCTTCAGAAGCCAACAAAAGGAAAGAAAAGGCACCAGTAGCATCGCCATCAAACTGCACCACACAAGGTACGATGAGGAACACTGGCCTACCGCACGGAGTTCACGTACATATACTACCCATACATAACACGTGAGAACTGCCATGGAAGAAGGAAATGGCAACATATGGCCTACCCCAAATTCGTATGGGCCGTAGTCGCGCCTACGGGCAAGTTCGATGATTGATGGTCATCGGGCAATACTGCGCGGACGCAAGCGCGTTGCAGCCAGGGCTGCTGGAGGTGAGCGATTGGGGTCCTGCCCTTGTATCAACTTATCATCTCTGAATTGCCCAGACTGGTCGACCCAGCGTGTGATTGTGCTATAAAACGGCTCCGAGGTTTCTATAGGCTTTCGATGCCAGGACGTGATAATTGCCCACCTCAGAAGCAAGTCAGGGTTAATCAATTACGACATGCACTACGCATTCAGGACATGCAAACAAGATTGAGTTAGATCAAGACTTCGCATTTGGTGAATCATTGCTTCTATTGTACAGAAGAATCAAGACCATGGACAGGAAGTTTCCAAACTGCCACACGGTCAAGACCCTCGACTCCTCCCGATCCATCGCACATCTATCGCTATGCAGGTTTCAATGCCCCGAAGAGGGACACTGATGTATATATATATACAACGAATGGGGCCACGCACAAGGCAGCAGCCACAAGTATTCACACAACACGAACAAGCAACTCCCCGTAAACATCACTCCGAACGAAACTTAAGCCATCAGCTTCAGGCCGCGCTTCTTGGTGGAGCGCTTCTTGGAGCAGCTGGACTCGTCGGCGGCCTCGGTGGGCTGGGCAGCGGCGGCGTTGCCAGACACACCAGCGGCGCCGGTGGCAGTGGGGCGGGCAGAGGACTGGCCAGCACCGGTGGCGGTGGCAGCGGGCGCGCCAGTGGCGGCAGGGGCACCGGTGGCCGAGCCAGAGGAGCCGGAGCCGGAGCCGGAGGAGGCACCGGCACCGTCGTCGTTGGTGCAGTCACCGTCCGAGGTCTGGTCGGCGTAGTTGGCGGTGTGGTCGATGCAGGCGTTGGGCCAGGTGGCGGGGCCGGGGGCGGTGTAGCTGGTAGGGGCCGGGTAGTACAGGTTGATGACGATGCCGTCCTCGGTGCCGTCGTAGACGCCGGGGATCTTGACGGCGGGGCTTGGGGAGCCGGCGCCGGACCCGGAGACGGTCAGCTGGGCGCAGCCGATGTAGAACTGGGCGCCGCCCTTCTCCTGGGCGCCGTGCAGGGCGATGTGCTCGCCGCGCATCAGGTAGTCGCCGGCGGGCATGTCCTCGGGCAGGGTGAAGGTGAAGTTGCTGATGCCGCCGCCGACAGAGGTGGCCCACTGCAGGCCCTCGGCGGTGATGCTCGAGGTGGTCAGCTCGTAGACCTTGAACCAGTCGCCGTCGCCCTTGTAGGCGGCCGCCTCACCGGTCGCCTTGGACATGTAGACGGACAGGGGACCCGGGTGGCCGAGGTTGCTGTTGATGGTGAAGCCGACAGAGTCGCCGGCGGCAACGGCCTGGGTCTTGGTCTTGGCCATGATGTCGGCGTCCAGGCCGCCCTGGTTGCAGATGAAGTCGTCCGAGGTCACATCGGTGATGGGCGAGTTGGAGTTGGTCGTCTGGCGGACGAACTCGTAGGGCTCGGTGACCTTGTCGTTGTGGATCAGGGCCTCAAAGTTGTAGTGGGCAGCAGCGGTGGCCGCGAAGGCCGCAACACCAGCGAATGTGGAACGCATTTTGGCTTGGTAGGGGGTTTTGTTTGGTGGGGACGAAAAGAGTCGGGAGATGAAACTTTTGTTGTGATTGAGAGAATCGAGATTGTTTACCACCAGGGTTGAAAGAATGAATGAGCCGAAATGGGCGAAAGAATGGCGCAAGCGACAGCTGCGGTGATGAAGATCAGAAGACGAAGACTTGAAGGTGAGATGAACTGCCAGAACAATCAGGAGACCCGGAGAGGCGTGCGACGATGCATCGCTTTATACCATGCTGTGCCAGTCCCAGACGGTGGGCCATGCTCCGCTTCGCTCCGTCGGTTAACCCCCTATGCGCCGCAGTGGCTCTCCTCTCCTCCGTTCATCAGCCTCGGGAATATTTTCATCATGGATCTCTTCGCCCCCTTGGACTGCCTGAACTCGCCCAGCCTGCCGGGCCGGATTTGACTTGGTGGAGTCTTGATCCCATCGTGGTCGCAGTGAGGATGTCGAATTAAGGGGCCACTGGGAGCCGCCGCCAAGAAAAGGGGCTACCCGCGTGTTTATGTTTGCATCTGTTCCACGAATCAACTTACACCATGTTGGGGCAAAACGGCCCACTTGTCGAAACGCCGGCTGGGGGCCTTTGTTTCGAATAAGACAGCACTCGCAGGGGATTTCCACACTCGTCGCTTAGCCGTCAGGGGCTGGCCGCCGACGGTGCGCCTGCCAGCACGACAACCTCATCAACTCGAGGATGAAACATCTGAATCCCCTCGCCGTAGCGCTGTTGGCATTTTCTTGTTGCCTGTCGCATGAAGTCATCGGCGTCTGGTCAAAAGTTTGTCGCTTTTTTGTCCCATGCAGGGCTCCTCTGAGCCGAGCCGACCCAATCAACGTTCAAGGGTAAAACAGACGGCGGCACTCTGTTCCCATCCAATGTTTTTAAGATTGCCAAGTGATCGACGACATCCATGAGGCCGTCAATAGCGGGTCCGTCCACTGTAAACGGCCTGGGGACGACCATTTCCGGATGCACGACCGAGCAGAGCCTCACTGTCTTTGGTGATCATCCGGATCGGGGCCGCCGACGAGCAGTGTCAGTTGTCGATCGCATGCCAGATTCAGAGCTACCCCGTTTAGATCCCAATGTTCAGGATCACACATTGATGTTTCTTCTCCATCATTCTACCCGGTCAATCCTCGGAACATCCAAATTCATCCCACTTCGCACCCGAACCCGAGCCCTGCCGCCATGCTGACTTGCAGACAGAGCAGGGCATGGGAGATGGGCAAGGGGACTCACCTGCAACAACACCGACAAGGGTGTCGCAGTAAAAAGTCAGCCGCCGCCCACCGAGTCTCCATCTTTAGAAGCTGAGCGCTTCGCAGGCCGTGTCACGATTCTGCCATCGCAGCTTCTTGTTCAACACGAGTCGCTTGCGATTGCTAAAGTGGCCCAGCTGCCCGAAAACGCCCAATGGCAAAAACCTGGCGAGTTTTCGCATTGCTTACGCGCAAACAGATCACCGCTGCTGACGTCACCTGACCTCAAAATGCTGTTTGGCATGAGTGGTGTTGATATCAGGTGATGCAGTAGCATTGCTCGGGGCATTTATTGGTTGGGGCCAGAGAAAGCTTACCAGCTCGGCAACCACCATACTCGAAGGTGTGCTGGCTGTATTGAGATCCAATTTGCTTGCGGCCTTTGTCAGCACCAGTGGTTGATTGAACTTGTTTCCCGCTAGAAACAAGATGATTTGCTGGCTTATCCCGCGCCGCAGCACAGCTGAAGAAAGACGCGCCCCCTTGCAGATTTGTCGTCAAATGATTTTGCTGCAGCCTCGCGGAACATGACAGAAGGTGGTAATGAGCGCAGGCTGATGAGCGAATAGTGGCACGACCGGCCCCGTATTAGATCTGTTGAAGCCCGACTGGTTTATTGCTCACCCTGACGTCTGGCACCAAATGCAAATAATTCCCGAACTCTTCCTTCGCCATGCTCCTGGTTCTCTTGTGGCATATACTGGTTCTAATCCAACTACCGGCTCTTTGCAGCAGCAAATACGCAGGCCTTCGCGGTCCACAGAAATTCCAGGCGCTTCTGCCTGCGTTGAGCCAGCACACACTCTGGACACACAATCAACAAGACTGCGCTCAGTCGTTGTCTGCATACGTCCAGGAATGGGAGGAGTACGACTCATCAAACCGATTAGATGCGCTCTGTCTAAAACACCAAGAATGCATCCTCCAAAATACGAGCGAGAGCCAAAAGTCCTTCATGGCCAGTTCGGCGCTCGTCCTCGGCCTAAGCCCCATCATCCTGTCCACGCTCGGCCCGACAGTCAGCGAGATTGGCCTTATTTCTCTGAACCGGCCATTTCTGTCACTCCTTCTCACCCTCGGCACCGTTGGCGTTTATCCCTCGCGCATTCTTTCGTACGAAGACGACTCGCCCCTTGACATCGCCAGGAAGCCGTCCCTATTTCCGAAGTGGGCCCTTCGGCGCCTGTGTATCCGCCGCTGGGCCGCCTTGCTCGTGGTTCGCGCGCAGTACGTCATCGTCAGCATCGCCGTCTTCAACGTCTGCTACACCTCGTGGCAGCTGGGTGTCGCCACCGTGCTCAACTTCATCTGCCAGAGCTCGTACATGCCCATCGTTTGGACAGTGCTGCCCTTCTTCGTGCACCTGCCCGCCGCCCTGGCATTGAGAGCCAACACTCCGTCCAAGTCTCTGCGATCCGCATTCGCTTTGGAGTTCAAGCTGAGTGCTTTCCACAAACCTGTGGACGCCAGTACCTTGGTTCCGGATCCCAAATTGTTGCTATGGCGAGGATTTTGCAACCGTATTTTCTTTGATACATATGACCGTGGGTATCGTTATATTTTCTTCGCTGCTGTTCACCAAGACGGTTGATGCGGCGTTAATCTTGTTACGATACGTTGCGTCTGCATTAGTCTGTAGGTTGATCATCATGTTTTAGATCTACGGTCTCCGTCTTGCACTTGAGCAAGTCGATCTGTCAGTCGGGAGAGCTTAACGTTTATTTCATTTTATATGATCATGTGGCCACTGTGCATGACTTATCCCCGTCGGCTTAAGTCTGAACAGGGCCAGGTAGTGCCAAGCAGGTCAAGCCACCCACTTACACCCACATGCGGTCGAAAGGGGAAAATCTTGGATCCGCATAGTCATGGGCAGCGGAAAGGTGAGCTCTGGGTAATCACTGGGCAGAAGAGCATGCGCGGTTTTGATATGTTCGTTCTCTGCATCTGATCTGCTATTGTTGCGGCTGGTCTATATAGGGGGGGGGGTTAAGCTTCAGCTGATTGGGCAAGAAATGACTTGCTGATCTCTGGCCGAAAGTGTTCTGCCCCTGTCCAAGATACTAAAAAGTGGTATTTTCCATCCATTGAGCCGTCTGGCCCCACCCCAGGGAGCAAGACAGGTCGTCAATGCTTAGTGTGTTGTCCATAGGCCTCCGTGTGCATGATATCGCAGTCCGAATAATACGGCCTATACAGCTATTTTGACATGACGGCCGCCACCCGCATCATCAACACATGCTCGACATTCCTCGGTGCCTTACTGCTGGGCCCCTTGGCCCGTGTGCTTATAGACCCCAGAGGTCGCAAGTTCGGCCTGTACATTGGTGCCATAATCAACACAGTCGGGCCATTACTGGCACTTCTCAGCACCTCGGCGTATTCATTGTCGGCCGTCTCATTTCTGGCATGGGTGTTGGCTTCGGCCAGACCGCTGCGAGCCCCTACTAGGACGTCGCGGAAACTACTGCTTTAAAAATACGAGCTTTGCCCTAGACCTCTCTCCTGTTGCCCCGTCGCGGCCCTACCTGCTGCTGGGATCTCACATGCAGCCAGTAAACAACGACTCCGCTGCTCCAAAACTAAAGATGGGCTGTTGTGAGACCTCGGCACTCGAGCCCTCCAGCTACGTCTGGAGGATCACCTCAATCCTGCAAGCTGTCCCGCCTACCTGCGCCGTCGTGGTACTCCTGTTACTGCCAGGGTCTCCACGGTGGATCGCCTACAACGACCGGCCAGAAGAGCATTACGCATCCTCGCCCGAATCATCCGGGCCACCCAGGCCGACAAGCTCGCACGCGGCGTGTTCACGCTTCCCAGCCTGGGCCTGTGCACCTTATCGTTCTGCTGCTGGCCGGGCTAACGGTCAGGTTCGGCATCTCCTCCTCCTCCTCCTCCAGTGCCGGGTCCCGGAGGCTGCTACCAGCACCAGCACCAGCACAACGGGCGTGTTTGGCACTGTCGCGTGCATCTTACTCTTCCTCGGCGCGTGCAGCTTCGGCATCACGCCGCTGACATCGTCTCCCCTTACCTCATGGACGCATTGGTTGGTGGGTGTACGCGGCCATCGCCTGGCGGGACTTGCTCCTCGTCGCTTACATCTACCTGCGGTGGGGTGAGACGAGGGAGCTGATCCTCGAGGAGGTCAATGTTGTTTTCGAGGACGAGCCCCGTGTCGTCTACGCCGCCGACGACGAAGGCAGCGCTGCCAGGGCCCGAGTTATAGAAAAAGTAAACGGGAAGGGAAGTGTCGAGAAGCTTGCAGTCTAATATCGTGGTAGAGGTCTCAAAGTTGAAGACGTCGAGCAATTGGAAGTGGGAATGGGTTCTCTGAAGTCGAAATTGAGCCTCAAGAAAGGGGATGCCGCGGCTTTCTGACTTGACAACTCGATTGTTAGATACGATGATGCAATGGCTACTCATAATCTCAGTTATATTCTCAGTCGACGAGTAGTCTCAAGTATCGGAAACTGACTTAACTAGAGTTTTTCCAACTGCCAGCGGAGGGCTAATGAATTATATAGACAGTTCTACAAAATAGAAAGAAGAAAATCGAGCTACGCCAATAGAAGTAGGCTGCGAAACGAGACCGCAGCGGCGCGGAGAACCTGGGGTATCCAGGGGGTGTCTCCACTTATGGGTACCGACTTACTCGGGTTTTCACGTCATTTTCATCGTGCTCCGAACGAACATTCCCTCCCTCAATACATCTTGCGAGACTGAACCCGGTGGTTCATCTTTAATCTGGCAATTTTATGGCATTCACTTCGAGCGGCGATCCCTCATGTATCGGCGCAGAAGTTCAGATGCATACTCGAGCACTGGCTCCTTGATACAAATTCACCCCTGTGGCACGGTTGAAGCTTCTTGCCGACCCGAGGAGCGGGTGCGTTCATCCCTTCTTGCAGCGGGGGAGCCTCCTCGCCAAGCCTTCGCCCACTGTACACGTGCCATGCCAGTGGTGCGCAGGTGGCGAGCCCAGCGCGTGATTCCCATGCAATTTCACTGTCTACGGATGGATTGGTGGAACGTTTGCGTCGTGAGTGTTTCCCAGTTTGTTTTGGCTTCGTGGTTGCTCGAGCAGACTGCCCCGAAAGGGTGGCCACCTTGGGCTGGTACCAGTAGCTAAGGAGGCAGTGGTTATATAGGCAGGGGAAAAGACTTGTGCTTGCAGAGTCCTTCCGAGGTGCTTCCTGCCGACCACTACAGGGGCAAAACATTGTCCAGTCACGAATAGTCTCCCCGGTTTCTCTATGATCCACTATTCACTAGCTGTGATGCTGGTGGGCACAGTGGGGTAAGAACCGCCGAGTCGTCTGCCGAGGGGGAGCACATATTCAATGAATGACGCTACTTAATGGATCTTCGAGGACAGCCGGGAGCTTAGGTTTCCTGTACCTTCAACTCCCAGGCCAAGAGAATCATTAAGGGGCGCAACATGAAGACCTCCGCTACTCTGACCCTGCTTGTCCAAGGCGTCCTTGCCTTCTCCCCAGGGCACCGTGCGTGGCTCCGGCAAGGCTCTGGCGATGCGCTGCAAGTGTCCACCATTTCGGGCCAAGTCCACGGGAAAATCGACCCATCGCTACCCAACGTCCGTCAATTTCTTGGCATCCCCTATGCGAAGCCGCCGACGGGAGACCGTCGATGGGCTCCCCCCGAATTGCTGGATGACCCAGATGCCCAGGTCAGCGCGGTCGAGCTTCCACCGAGTTGCATGCAGTCTCTTTCCACCGCGAGTCCCTCGGTATATAACAGAGACGTCCTGGAATTCAATTTGCAGGGTCTCAATCGCACGGGTGCGGTCAGCGAGGACTGTTTGACAGCCAGCGTGTGGGCGCCGACTAACGATCAATCTGGCCTCCCGGTCCTCATTTACGTGTACGGCGGTGGTTTTCAGACTGGAGGCCAAGATGTTCCGTACCAGATTCCCGCGCAATGGGTGAACCGAACTCCAGACCACATCGTGGTGTCTTTCAATTATCGGCTGAACATCTTCGGCTTCCCCAATGCTGCAGGACTTGAAGATCAGAATCTGGCCCTCCTGGACCAGCGCGCCTTTGTGCAGTGGTGTGAGAAAAACATCGCCGCCTTTGGAGGAGACCCTTCGCGGATGGTGCTATGGGGCCAGAGTGCTGGGTCGATATCGGTGGACATGTACAACTTCGCGTACCCTGACGATCCCATCGTTGGAGGATTCATCATGGACTCTGGCACAGCCGAGTCTGGGCTGACTTCAGCGGATACCCCCCATTCCAACTTCACCTTTGTGGCCGAAAATGTTGGATGTGGCGGCTTGAGAGAAGATCCGGCGAAGGAACTAGACTGTATGCGCGGTGTTGATGCCTTCAAAATTAAGGATTTCATCGCATCGTACGCAGAAAGCGGTTCATCTCCTAGCCTAGGCTTTAACGCTGTTCCGGACGAAAGGGTCGTCTTCTCGAATTACACCCAGCGTGCCCTGCAAGACCAACAAGCACAGATTGTACACACCCCGCCCCTTCCAAACTTCGAGCTTGAACCCTGTTAACCACGACAACAGCCAGCCATCATCGGCACAAATACCGAAGACGGTGTCGCTTTCGCCCCATACAACCCGAGCGGACCCAACGAGACCATTGCCTTCCAAGCCGGCTTGGCCACCTTCTTCTGCCCAGCCACCCAAACCACTCGCCTCCGCCTGCAAACAGGCCGCACGACGTTCCGCTACCTCTACGCCGGCAATTTCACCAACATCTCGCCGCAGCCGTGGCTCGGCGCATACCACTCAGCCGAGCTGCCGTTGCTCATGGGCACGCACGGGAACTTCCGCGGTGCAAGCTCCGAGATGGAGGAGTCGACGAGTCGCGCTTTTCAGGATGCGTATGTGGCTTTTGCGAGTGACCCAACCGGTGGGTTGTCGGGCCAGGGCTGGGAAGTTTATGCGGCGCTGGGCGGTTCCGATGTGAGGGAATTCGGCGCTGGAGTTGCAGCCAAGGATGTCAGTGTTGCTGACATGGAGGCTTTGTGTGATGGGGCTCAGCTCGCGGCTTGAAAGATGCGGTTATGCTTCTTGCTAGGGCACGTTGTTGGATCCCATGTATGTACACGTGACATCATGTGAAGATAGCCATGGATGCCCCAACCCATGCGTCATAATAATCATACATGAAGGCGTTTAGAAAGAACCAAATTTGCCTTTCCTAATGAGCTAGATATTGAAAGATGAAGAGTTCCAGCATCTTAAACTAGGAAAACTGGCTTCTCGTCCGCTAACAGATTTGAGCCCAACAGAGTCGCTACACCAACACGCTCAAAATATTCCTCCAGCTGATCTGACTGCAAGGATGAAGAGCGACGGGTGACAGGACGAATCAACAGAACATAGTAGGCATCATCGTTCCCATCTCTGCCCATGTTCTCCTTGCCCAGCACAACACATCTCCACGAGTCGTCGAGTGCCCCTGGAGACTCTGTATCAAGCACCGCTCTCTTTTTCAACATAGCACTGTCCACCCGCAACTCCCTCGCTTTCATATTCAGGGCCCAATTCGGAGCATCAGGAGGCCCACGCCCATACTCCGTCCACTCAACGCCACCGAAGTCGATGTCCAAGAAGGCTATACGGCCGCTGTACGCCATCCAAGACCAGGATGGTGGCTTCGCGCCTTCGTCGTCATCGTACCGAATGCTGGCAAGCAAGCCCGGCTGCGCAGCACACCAAAGAAGGGTCCTCGCCGGCCAGCGCCAGAAAACCCCGTGGTCAACGTCCGAGTTAAAGACACGGGCGATGCGCCGCTGCAACCCCGCGATGGCCCGTGGGCGATCGGACTCCCTTGACAGGGCCAGGGCTGAATAGGTTGTATAGAAGTGCTGCAGGAGCCGGGTTCGCTCGTCTTTATAGAACTGCAGGGCGAAGAGGGGGAAGTTGCTGTCGCCGAGGAAATGTGACTGCGGGCTGTATGGTGTTTTACATCAGCAATTTAAATTGACGTAAGAATCTGGCTTGGGGCTTACTTTCGCAGCTGAGCTAGTGTCTCACAGATAACTCCGTCGCCGCATTCCCAATAGACTTGCGTGGAGGTGAAGAATATCGTACGCCGAGATAGAGCTCGCTCTTGGAAGACCCACCCGCGCGAGCTGAGGATACTCTTCTCGACGTCGGTAGCGAAGTCATCAATAGCCTCCGCCAGATAGACGGGCCCCGAAGAAGTTGCAAGTCTAATAGTATCCCTGGGTTTCCTGGGGCCTAGGAACCCGGCCAGGGAAGAAGATGCCGAGCTTGCCGCAATCGTGCAATATGCGTTGTTGAATACATCTTCCATTTTGCCTGACTCAGTTATCCAATCCGCAGCATTTTTCTGAATGATGCAGAGCGAATCGATCCAGAGGTAGCGGACGCCCAATGCACGCGTGACACGAATAGCGTCCCTAAAGGTCGCTGGCATCTGGTCGTAGGGAATGTCTGTCGTTCGCTGCTTGAGGTTGCTTTCGTATGTGCAGAAGCGCTGGTCATCGCTCATTTGGCCCCAGCAGTGGCTTAGGGCAATATAGCGGCATTGCTCGTTCTGGTTGATTTTGAGCAGCCGGATGGGCTCCTTTCCGTGCGTACCGACGTCGATCAGTCTTGTGGGCGATGCTGTTGGTGACTTGGAATCCTCTGGAGGTTTCATGCAGTCGTGCCTTGTATCGCAGTGGTGCACGAAGGATTTAAGCAAGCTGAACTGCTCGGCACTGCCTTGTTCGGGAAGTAGAGGAAGTCCGGATAGTGCGAACGGAAGTGAGGGAGGAACAGACCCGGAGTCTAAGGCAAAACGTAAGTCTAGAAACATCATTCAAGTGAGCCTACGTACCTGTATCAAAATACAGCGAAACAATGGGTAAATCAAAGGGATAGACCCTAATAGTGGATTCAACTCGAGCAAAAGTGAGGGGCTGTTGGGGTTCGAAGTTCAGGGCTGAAAGACGGCGGTGAAGGAACTTGCACAGATCACACTCTGTAGCCGAATCGCAGAGGTTAAGTAAGCTTTTCTGCATCTCGGTGAGTTGTTCCACAGCGCCTGAAACCTGACAGCTACTACCAAGGCGGTCTGGACACTCTGCTAGCTGGTGCGGTTGAGGCCACTGGGATCCCAAGTCTCCGAGAAGCTCAGCCAACAAGGAGGAGTCCTTCACAGTCTCCCATTTGTCAACTAACTTGCTAGTCCTCTGCTTGAATTAGCGTTGATAGAGCTGGTCTACGACAACCATACAGGGACATACGGGCTGTTCGAGGGTCAGTTAAGCTCTTTCGAGATTCAGTTTGAGGGGGGTTTGCTTACATTCTGTTTACTCAGAAAAGACCGTGGTTGTCAGTAAGCACAGCTTGGGCTAATGTTACATACAGGCGAAAACTCACGTACTGTGAAATCATTAGTCTTCGTGAAATCATGCAATTCTCGCGGCGCGACTTACTCGTTGAGAGATTGGAAAAATGTCGGCGTGGGCTACCTCGGCCGTGGGTTCCCTGGACTCGGTCAGTGCCTCCATCGCGTCATCCCACAGGTAGGAAGGAGTGGTAGAACAGTTCTCAGAGACTCCTTCCAAACTTTCCAGGAATGTGGCAACATATGATCGCCTTTTTAGAGACGCGACGAGCAGGTGCTTCTTCACCAACGCCAATAGGTCTCGTAAAGCAGCGGGGAGCGTTGGATCTGCGAGGAGCTCACGGATGAGTCCGCTTACTCCTGGGTGCAATATCGGCGGGTCGTTACCATATTGCTCCCAGTAACGGTCGACGTCAGGTTTGGCATCTCGGCGGCGTTCCGTGTCGAGCTTCGCCAAGCCGCTGCGGCCGCGTCGCAGCCAGGTGATGAACTCCAGTAGGACGCATCCGAGTGACCAAGAGTCGTACTTGCGAGAAATCAGGCGTAGCTTGCCGTTATCGTCTTTCTCTGGCACATCGATCTCTGGCGGTGTGTATCTCTGGGTTCCGGTCCTGTTGGTGGTTGCTTCGTTCTTGTTCTTTCGCACCTCAGTCTCGAAGGCGTGGTACTTCGCAATACCCACGTCTGCGATCACCAAGGGACCCCATGCTGAGCCACTGGAGCCTTTGAATCTAAGGATGTTCTCGGGCTTCAGGTCTCCGTGTCGAGTATTCGTCTCATGCAGCCTGGCGAGGCCGCGCGTAAGTCCCAAGATTTGATCCCAAGCCCATCGCCTAACCTCCTGGCTGGAGGGGTTGAGATTACCGAGCCAAAGTTGACGAAGGTTGCCGTTCGGGGCCCAAGGGAACACGATACATCGCTCAGAGCCTCTTTCATATACTGCGATAGCTTGAATGAGATGGGGGTCCGCGAGGGTTCTCATTGTCTTGAGAGTCGTCGCTTCCTTCTCGAAGAAATTTAGAAGTTCCTCATCCGAGGCGCCATTCACTCTTTGCAGCTGCTTGACAGCGACCTCTAGAACCTGTTTGGAGTTGCCAGGGCCCTGAATCTAAAAGTCGAACAATCAACATTGGTACTGTGGATGTACTATTCGCAACTTGGACTTTCTTACCAGGCGCAAGTACTGGAAGTCTGTATGGTTCGGTACCACATGCTCCCTCCTCAGCCCAACCTTGAATACTTTGCCAAAATTACCACTTCCAGCAGCGCCTGCTGATATCTCGATGAATGGGAGCGGCCGCTTATCGGAAAGGCCTTCGTAGAGGAATCGCCTGTTGTCAAAGACGACAGCGTAGAACCGCCACTGCTCCGTAACGAAGTGTGTCAGGTCCGCCAAATCCCATTTGCTCTCATCTTCTTCGTCGTCACCTTCAACGAAGGCATTCGGCGACAGATTCGCTTCCTCTGCAGGATCTTCCAATGAAACCATCTGCCGGCGATCTGTCGTCTCGTCGTATTGCAGTCGTACCGGAAGATGACAGTCCTTGACTTGCGCCTCCCACAAGGTTTTGATCTTCTTCACGAGCCGGGAAGAAGCAAGCGTGAGAAAGACATGAGGATTTTTGCGTGCATATTCTAGGAGATTGTCTCGTTGTTGGCTGTTTGAATAGCGAACATACTTTTCTATCGTCGCCTTGACTAGGTCCTTCCTCATTACCTGGAGGGACGCATCTTGTGGCAGATAAGAAGGGTTGCGCAGTGAATCTTTGCGCTCCTTGAACTCTTCAACACAGTGGTCCCGAATAAGTTTAGAACTCACTATCGCCATGGTTCGATGAGACTTGGAGAGTTCTCCCCCAAGATTACGCAAAAGCAAGTAAGTTCTGGTGTGATTTCGATCTTTTCTTGAAAGATTTGCATGGAGTAAGTATCCTCGAAAGAAAGAGCAACATGAACGACCGAGCACATGAGGTTTTATTCACCCTCGAACTGCGACCAACATTCGAAGTTCGTTACCCTCTCCAGCTTCACGCACTGCATGGTGAACGGCACGCCCTTCCGACCGGCTTGAATTCCCCTGCGGCGGTTTGTTTTGAGCCGCAGAGCTGCCTATACTGATCTGAGTGGAAGATGACGGCGACCCCGCATGCTCTTTCAAAGCCGTGTGCAATAAAACAGCACAACTGTGCCGTTACACCGCACAAACTATTGCTTACGGGCATATTCAACGCCCGAAAAGGCAGCAATGTGCAACACGACGGTACGGCTGTGCTGTTACACCGCAGGAACTATTTGCTGACAGGCATGCCAGAACACCTGGGCGGGAAGAGACGACCAGGCTCGGAAGCACACTTGCAACGCCTTCTGTCGAGGCAGTGCCTCGAGCAGAGCCGCAATCGCAGCCCGAGTCTGCATTTCTGTCAGAAAGTTGTTGCTTGTGGCCGACTCATCCAGGCTTCTGGATCTTACGTGAGACGAAGGGGGCCCAGCTATGCATTGGCGCACACCGAAGCCGAAGATCAAGTATAACTTCAACGTATCAATCAAGTACACATGCACACTTGTGGGACCGATCTATCGCCAGAAGCTATCCTGGCCAGTGACATAAGGGGTACTCCGACGAAATTCTGGAGAAACTCGACGCAAGTTACACTGCAGTACTTCGGTAGAAGCACATGTGCGCGTCATGGATTAAGTTGTCAGCTTGTCTAGATGACCACCCGGCTTATACCCGCAGCCCCATTTCCTGCTGCCAGCCTGCTTCCATCACCACTGTTGGACATCGGTACAGCGCTAGCAAGTTTGTATCGGCTTCGATTCATTCCCTATAAGGTTGTCTTTTGACTGTGCTATCGATAGAAAGAGATGCTCATGCGGATTGGGCCTCAGTCGGATGATGTATTCATCATTTCGCATCTCAAAGCTTTCTAGCCCGAACCCTCTTGATTTGCAAAATAGTCTGAGTGTTGTGAGGAGGTCCTGTGGGCTCTTGAAGGAAGTGCAGTGAAGACGCTTCTCAATTGTTTCAGGTCGCTCGTAAAGTTGATTTGATAAGCCCATGTTCGCTTGGATTGTGTTCGGATTAAGAAAGTGATAAACAAAGTCCCTGCAGTACTGGACATGTGTTGTGAAGAAGAACAGACCGAAGTTTGATAGAAAGAGTCAATGGCGTGTCATCATCTGCGAGCAGAGATCGCAACCCTTATTTATGTCGGAACCACAGTCTCAGCTGTCATCTTGGCCCCCAATCAGGGCCCACGCGGCCCGACCTCGAGACGACCGTATGAAATGGTCAGGACTCATCCAGACTGTTTCGCCTACTACGGTCTAACCCCCACAGCCACAGCCACTTTTTTCCACATGTGATCTTCGAAAAAGTATTGGCGAAGTGCAGACTCTAGTGCTGACCACCATCGTACTGCGACAGCCTTGCCCTGCAGAGATGCCTAGTCAGCCGCTTCATTCCGAGCACCCTCCTGCGTACTTCGCCTCATCAATAATAGCAAGTGCGCAACCAGACCGACCCCCGAGCTGCAGAAATTCTGCCCGTGTAACTGTTGGCTTTCAATCACGTACAGACTTCTGAAGGCAGACTTTCATGGATCAGAGTCTGCCCTTTTCAACGTGTCAGCATCCAGAAAGATGCAGAAGGGATCATACCTTTGGTGACATCATATGGATAGTAGCAGCCACAGAATCAGAATTCGGTGCAGCATTCTGCCGAGGCGCAGCGGGAAAAGGTGCACCAGCTTCTAATTTTTGGTAACTAAGGGGGGGTGGGGGCGGTTGGAGCCTCACATACCTCACGCACTAGGGACATTGGGCTTGGGGGCGGCTGTAACCAACATCAATGATGGTTCCCCATTCCAGGTGCATGTTTGAGTTAACGTGTACTTTGGCACTTTTACGCAATATTCCGATCAATGCGAGTTTTTGTCAAACGCTCGTTTACATACCAACCTCACCTAGGTACCCTGGGATACGACACCAAAAAAGGAAATTGCCCTACCAAGTTTCGTTCAGGAGACCCAGATGTGGCTGTCAAGACATTGTGATCATCTAAAGGCTCAGTGGTAACAACAGCACCGAAGAGTGTCCTACTGGATGATGGATAGATCACATGACTCAACCAGGGCAGTTGCCAAAAATGTAGGTCAACCCTGGGAGTCCCGGGATTTTTCCAATTCTCTCATGCATGTCCTGGAATGTATTTGGACAGTTACTGACACAACAACGAACAATTACAGGACGGACAGCAGCATTCTGCAGATCAGCTGCAACGGCTCACACACAATTCGCATAGAGAAGCCCCTGAATGCGTAGGTTGCATCGGGGCCGCCCCACCAGCTCGCACAAACTCGGACAGAAAGGATCTAAGGGCCATAAAAACAAAACTCCAAGATGGCCGCAAACGGTGTGTGGCGCTGTTAGAGGACGACGGAGACCAGTTCCTCCCCCGGGACATCATTGCAGAGATCCTGACGGAATCAACCATTCAATCACTTCTGCGGGAAAAGGACACAACAAGCGGGATACACCTGAGTGCCATTGTTGGTGATGAGACACGCATCAAGCTTTTCACCATCTTGATTCTAATGAAGAGGACCAAATATCTTCGGCGCATGATTCGGCGAGGTCTCCGGGATAATAACCTTCCCTTATCAAAACGATCCTTGGAAAGCATATTCCCGACGTCGCAAGACAATTCTAGCTTCGTGGACCGTTTCGTCATTCACCAATCCTTGGTGGCTGTGCCTACTTGGGACTTCACTTCTCCCGATATGCAGGAGGGAGAGTACCCGTTGAGGTTCCACAACCTGCCATTTCTCAAGAAGAAAAAGCTTTCAAATGGTGGGCAAGGATTAGTTTGGAAGGTAGAAATCCACCCGGCCCACTTCACGGGAACCCGGACTGGTTCGGTATGTTTGTACATCCAAGAACCTGAGGTTATTTTCCGGAACTAACCTCTCAATTCCAGAGCCGATGGGAATGCTTCCACAGAGGCCCCGAATTCGCTGTGAAGGAATTCTCGAAGGAAGAAGAGTTCAAACGAGAACTTTCTGCCCTAAAGTGCTTCAACCAGTCCAAGACCAAACACAAGCATTTGATCAGGGTTCTAGCAGCCTACTCGCAGGGCAGAAGCCATTTCTTGATCCTACCGCTAGCCAAAGGTAACCTTGTCGAATTCTGGAACCACAACGGTCCTCTGTGCAAGGACCCTATCTGGCTTCTCAGGCAGTGTTACGGTCTCACGGATGGCTTGCGCAGGATACACAAATGCGAGGTTCCAGAAGTCGGACCCTCGTCACATGGGCGGAACTTCCTTCGAGGTCGACATGGCGACATCAAGCCGCCAAACATACTCTGGTTTGTCGACAACTCGACGGGAGAAAACCGGCTAGTCCTCTCCGACTTCACGCTGATGCGCTTCCACGCGCAGGGGAGCGAGACCGACACGCTCGTGGAGAGCGTCGGCAGGACCAGGACTTACCGCGCCCCCGAACTCGATGTGTTGCTGTCACCCGACAGTCGAGTCAGCCAGAAATATGACGTCTGGAGCTTGGGGTGCGTGTTCCTGGAGTTTGTCAGCTGCCACCTCGTCGGCTACAAAGCGACACGGGGCGACGAGAAACACTTCGACGGCGATTCTGGCCAAGGTTACGAGACCTTCGATACCACTCGCGTGGTGGAGGACTTCACCGCCGGCGGAGGGGTTGAGGACAAGTATTTCATCCACAAAAGGGGGAAGCAAGCCGCCGAAGTCAAAGAGTCAGTCAAGGATGTAAGTGTGACGCTCTATATGCCAAGCGTTGATATTAGACTGTACTGATCGTCACTGTTATAGTGGTTTTCTTACCTGCGTGGACTGAAACATTGTCCCACTGCCCTGTCTGATTTCTTGAATCTCATCCAGAAGCATATGCTCGTCATCAACCCGGATGAACGATGGGGCTCGAAGAAAGTTTTTCGCCGCTTGAGACAGATACTAAACCAGAAGTCCAACCCCAAGGGATATTACTGTTCAGCTCGTGCGAGGGATACTTTCCATCCCAGCCCCTTGCTTCGTCTATGGGACGAGTCCTCATACGATCAACGGCTCTTGTATCATCTTAACGACAAGGCGGAACTGCTGACCTACTCCGGCTTGAAATCCAGCGTGGACCGCGCCATATCTGCTCTGCCCGCCTCCATGAAGCAGGACATGGAGTTCTTTGACGTCACATTTCTTTCCCAGTCCTCCGTCTCAGTACATGGTCCCAGCCGCTCTCCGACCACCACAACAGCCGGCACCCACACTGCACCGGAAGACCAAAGGGATACCGTATCGGAGACCTCGTCACTTGCTCATGACCCTAGCTCTACAGAAGCCTCTGTGGACCTTGCGCGTAGTGATATTTCGGACCATCCTCTGCAACCGCCGTTATATCAATTTGAGACGAGAAATCGGGCACCGAAGCTGCTGGGCAAAGCGTCCAGTATAAGCTCCATGCAAGTATCCACAGATTGCATTCAACATGATGTGTCCCAAGACGCACAATTCCTCCGCACTCCCTCAAGATCCCACGGTCCTTCTTCCTCAAGAGCCACCAGCATCTTCACACGCGACCTGCGGAGGTCCGTGTCTAGTTGCACTGGACAGTCCACTCTGGATCCAAACGACTGTTCAGACCAAACACAATCAGACGGGGAAGATTATGTTGCAGAGCCGGAGGCAGAGGCTACAGGGGGTCGAATCGCTGATGACAACCTGCAAGTTGCAAACGGAGGAGAGTCAAGTCACAAGGTTGGAATGGCACAGACGAGCTCCTCACATAAAGACAAATTGGCCATTCGGAGAACTTGGGCATCATTGCGGAGAAGATTCAAAGCTGTTTGGAGGCGGAATGGGCAGCTCGTACGGCGAACGACAGAGGATACGCCATCGTGCAGGGAAGGCCGGGAACGAACGGCCTTTTCTTGATGTATGCACAAGATTGTTCAATGGCGACAATTGACATAGGCTTATTTTGCGAACATCATACATCAGAAATCCGTGTTCTACCGTTCATGTGGCAAGTTCTGGTCTGTTGCTGACTGTTGCAGGATCGTGCTGAAGGGGAACGGCGATGTCCCATCCAACGACATGTTTTATCGGGGCTCGATCGCGAACAACGGGAGAACATTCGATGATTACGGGCCATCTTCAATCTTCTATGATGCAGTAGCGAAGTGGGACCCCTTTCCCCATAGTTGAACCAACGGATGCAGACTTTTGCCACCTTCTTGGACAATCACACCCTCATCTGGCTGGACTCGCGGTTGTGGCACTCGTTGGTCCTCCGGCAGGCTCCATTCCTCCAAAGGCACCCGTCCGACCGAAAACGCCCTGTCTTGGTATTCGCGGAACTTCTTGCCCGCAAGACCCAACTCCGGCGGCGCCGCCGCCGCGTGGTATACCTCGCCCATACGGTACCGCAGCTCGCAAAAATGCCAGGTCGGTCCAGAGGTCGGACGTGTGCGCCGCAGGGTCGGTGCTGATCTCGTCGTCGAGCACGTTGGCTATGGACGCCCAGATGGAGATGTCGACCTGCACGTTGCGAGGCACATGCGGATAGCAGTATACGACAAAGCGCGAAATGGTGCGGGACACGGCCGCGATGCGCGCAGGGTAGACGTCTTTGAGCGTCTCTCGCGGCAGCGGCTGGGCAAAGTACTCGGCTGTCTTTGAGTGGAGGACCTGCAGAATTGCGCCAAGGGGAAGTTTGGGAGAACCATCGTGACTCACAGTATAGATGGCTATCAGGGCTTGGTCAATTCGGGTTCGGGAGGGAAGAGAGACGACACTGGATTGGAATGCTCCTCGTAACCACAGGATGTCGAGTATATATACACAAAATGTGGGAGGTGTGCCGGTGCGGGCTTCCCAATCCATGAAATTTCAACACAGGAAGGTTTCATAAGCGTAATCAACTTGCAGCCTTAGTCGTTTTCTTGCTACATTGTGTCTAATTGTCTCGGGCAACAGGTACTAAGAGGCCACATATTCCGCCCATGATCGGAGGCCGAGGTGGTGTGCGCTACAACATATGGATCATGACCACTCATTGCACCCAGATCTCCCGCTAGAGGCTGCATAGATCTGTCATTGTGCGAGAATATACCAGACGAGATCTACCGGGAGTAAAACCCTCCGATGAAGCGAGGTACCACGACAGAGTTCGGCACCCAATCAAGTATCCGACAGCTCAAGCCAAGCTGCGGAAGACGAATATCGTCCATTTTATCAGAGCTGATGATGCTTGTGGCTAAGACAATACTTGTGGGTTCGGTCTCACGGCATCTCACAGTTTCTGGATGTCCGTCAGGGAATGGCTCCACTGGCATCCCTCTACATCATGTTTCGATATTCAAGGAGGACAATCAATCTTAGCAACGGCTGTTGTGAGAATTTCTTGTTTCATGTTTTTGAAAAGAAAAGTAGCCCTCTAGATTTCCACGTTACATTCTCTCCTTATTGAGCTGAGTGTACGACGGCTGCATTAGTCCGATACGGCTACACCTAGGTAGACGCCTTGCATTCATATGCACCTCCAGAATAGGCCAAGAGCAGACTCCGCTGAGCACAACCCGCAAAACCCACCCCATCAGGAAAGCCAAAGTCAGGCCAACAACACGTCCTGGCCATTTAATCCTCCCATTAACTTATATACTACCAATTTCATTCCCGGCCCGTACATGAAGAATCTCTGCCAATGTTTACACTCTGCTGAAGACCATTAGAGAGACACCTAGTAGATGAGCCCGCTCAACGCCGTCCGTTGCCACCGTTAGTACTTGTGTCGCATGAGTACGAATGGTCCTCGTCACCCACGTCCTTGATGTACGCCCTGAAGAGATCGCTGTAATGGTCCCACCACAGGGAAGTCCACGAGATTCTCGTCCGTACTGGGAGAAACCCAGCATCGTGCTGGCTTTTACTTCCCTCGTAGTACTGTGCCAGTGTAAACCAAATCGCTTCCCCGAGATCGAGTTGCTGCTTTGCCAACTTGGAGTTGATCGTTGTGGTGGCGCATTTCCTTTTGAGGGCCGAGAACTTGATCATGGGGAGCAAAAGCGAGTCGCTGAAGCAGTCGTTCCAAGACCCCAACAGGAAACCGCCGATAAAACGGCCCATGGGTCTGAGGGGCAGCCGCGCGAGGTCCGCCAAGTCTGTGGCATGCACGCTTCCGAATCTTTGGGTGTCCTCGTCATCTGGAGCTAGGAATAGCTGCATCGCTCTGACGTAGATGAGGAGCACCTTGAGTACCTGGACATGGTCGTGATCGAGTGATAAGCAACGGCTGAGTCGGGTCCTAGCCGTGATGGTCTTTCCCCATGAATGTAGACAGTCGACTAGGATCCGCTGATCGTCCAGATATTCTGGCAACTTGGCGGATGTACCGTTAAGACAGATAGACCAACAGCAAGCTAATTTCCAATCCTCGAGCCTCTGAGCGAAGGCGTTCCAGGATGTCTGGAATGTTTTCGTAGGAGCATCCGGCTGGGGGAGTTCTCCCAGTGCTGGACGTGGTATCGGGACTGTCCTCTGGAACCTCCGTTTGAACAGCATCGGCTGCTCCAGGAGACACATGGCTGCAAGTCGAATGTGAACCGCTTCGGTCTCTGCGATTGCCAGATCATCTTTGTGCAGAGCCGTGAGACCGAACCTCTCAGATTTTCCGCTTTGAGCATGTGCGATAACGGCGTCACCGAGAACTGAGAAGCAGGCGACCTGCAAGTGGCAGCTACCTATGAGGTTGCCCTGCATCAACTCGAAGGACGCCATGGCTCCGGTGGTGAGGAGTAAAGTCCGGGGTGACAAGGAAGCGCCCTCGGAGCCCAGCCGCTCGCGCAGGCGCGACAAGGCGGTGGAGTAATACCGAACAGCTTTCGCGTGGACCGCATCCGCCGGGGAAGACGTGGCTAGTGGAATCAAGGACTGCTCGTCGCAGCCTGCAATAGACCGAGCCGCTGAGGAGAGCGAGAGCGCCCCCAAGCTCATGCAGATAGGATAGAAGACATCATCGCTGAAGCTTTCCCTCGGAATGACCTGGGCGAATGTCTCAGAATTGGAGATGCCGATCGGATCGTACCTTTGGAAGGCGTTGTAATAGGCGGTTCGGAGACTGTCGGCCTCGGTCCACATAGGCACGGGTGCTGGTAGGAGCGTCTGCTGCAGCTGCAGCTGCATGGGCTTGGGTTGGATTGTAGGTGCCGCATACTCGCATATGCGGCCTAGTCTTACACACCCCTTGCAGTAGGGCTTGCGCTCGTCACAGCGTACCCGACGTCTTGGGTGATGTCAGTGGATACACAGTTTTCTTGGGTACCTAAAGGTTACACTACCTCTTACAGGTGACATCCAGTCCGGACTTTCGGGTGGAAAGCACGTTTTGACTTTGGCTGCGGTCTTGCTTCAAACTGTGAATATGACATGATGATTCAATGCTGGGTAATCGGGAGGATGACAATTGCATCAGTCGTGATATTATGAGATATTATAATGGTTCCTGGTTGCTTAAGTAAGTATGTTTGGAGTCTTCCGTAATGTTTAAAAAAGGAAGCCTTTCTTAGGCAGACCACGATAACCACGATACTGATGATGTTGGATGCTTAGTAACTATGTGAACGGAAGGCTTGGGTGCACCGCGCTAATGCGGCCGTCGTACAATTGAGCCAATAGAGGAGAAATGTAACATGGAAGCCTGGAGACTACGGATTTTGCCGTCAGATGCGTGAGAGTACCAAGTGGTACCGGTGTGGAGTTTGCCTGCCGGATCCGAAATTCAATCATTCGGAGGGACCCGAGATTCATGGACCATTGCATCCGGGGATGGCTCCAGAATAGAACCTGGCTTACTCGAGGATAAAGCTTATATGTAGCTAAACAAAGTATTTAGTATGTAGACAACTCGTCACATCAAATCTAAGTCTTCCAAGCGTTCTATTCTCCTCAGCAAGGGCAGAAAGGAGGGCACAGGAGGATTTGAGTGACAGGTATTCTGCTCATTTCTCAGGGTCGAAGAAGTATGGCGGACGTCCCTGTTTCTTTACGTCGGGCTCCGGCTCCATTATTTCCTTTTTGTGGTATTCCCAGAGCCTAGAGGTTGGAGTGGTTTGTCGGTTTGTCTCCATGGCTGCAGTCAAAAAGACCTCGTCAAAAGGCTCGCCGGATTCCTTTTTTGCTAACTCCCTTCGAATTTTGATCTCTTCGATTCTTTCTGGCCAGTCGTACGCGTTGATGACGTCCTTTGTGCCCGGACGTGGTCCTTCGGGGACCTCGTGCCGATTTCTGAAGATGTGGTGCTTGACCCTGGCATCGTAAGGGTGTCAGCGCCACCTGTTGTCTGGTGTGATCTCGATGGGAAACGGACATTGATTGTGGTCTGGGCCTTGCGACAATAGGTATCGTAGCACGTCTTCGAATTGCCTTTTTGTGGGGGGTGCGATGGTGATGCCAGTGCGTCCTCCACGGCCGCTGTGCAAGTATATGCCATTGCACTGTCCCTCAGATCAGAAAAGCACGAACTCTTGATGAACGCATTATTGCTCATCTCTTCTTCGCTCTCACCACGATCAAAAAGAATAACGCCGCCAAAAATCTGCGTCTCTGCCCAGTATCCAACAACGTCTGCCAGGCCATTTGGATACCGGGACGAGTCCACATACCTGCCATTCCAGAACAGCGTGGGCAGAGGCAGAACTTTCCGGTCAAGAGATTTTTCCGGAAGGCTTTCAAGCTTTTCAGCAAGAAATTCCTCATGCTCCCAATGTTTATGGACTCCGCCATCCATCTGATATAGATGGACGGCGATATCGTGACAAGCACTGGTAACTAGTTCAAGAAGCCGCAACTTCCATGCTATAGATGCTGGCAAGGTTTCTTGATATGCTTGCAGAATCTGCATTCATGTCATCAGATAGTGGAAATCGATGAACCTCTCTCTGACGTACTGACCTTGGGCCCCAAAACTGGGTCGAGCACGTTGAAGTCTGTGCGAAATGCTCTCGCCTTCTCTTTAGACCCGGGACATAGCTCCTCATGGTCTGAGACGGCCAAGCCATCTCTAACGTAATGGTCGGTGGCGTAGACGTCACTGGTAGGCTGTCCGTCAATGATTTGAGCACAGGTGAATTCCGTGATTGGCGCGGAGAGGAAATTTATCAGCGCTCGGCGTAATGGCTGGAGATGCTCGATTCCGAGATGCTCTAATGATTGCATGGCGCAAAGTATATTTGGGACACCCAAGGTGAGAGCTGCAGGCGAACGAGGTGTTGAGTGGTAGTTAAGTGAGGTTTGCTTGTGAAATTAGTAATGGCTGAAGAGAGAACTTGGGATGGCTGGGGAAAAGTGGAGGGTTGATCTTGGCTTGGCGAAGTTCGCATCGGATTAGTGCCAACAGGTTGTTGGCATTACTTTTAGTAAGAAGTGGATTAAACTTCGAGCCTTCTAATATCATCATGCAATTCCAGGTCCATTACACAGTGAGTTGGTTATTGCAGAGCGACTTAACAGGCCTTAGAATAGAGTTAACCTGGCCCCAATTCCGTTATGCATTCAGGTTGTCGAAGCTTTTTACGCCATCAATGCGGTACTGGCACGCAATCGGCCGGGAAAAAGGAAAAGCGAAATAGACGCCTTGTACCAAACACGCTATCAGAAACAGTGTTGTCTCCTTAGGGGTCTTTTCTTCCATGAGATTGCGGTACCGCCCTTCGTTGCGTTCATAGCGAGAGGCGATTTTCCTTCCACACCTGTGGAAAACAACACTAAGCTACTCATTGATTGGGACGCCTGGAAAGGACAGAGTGGGAATTAGGTCGAGGCCCAACTAATTGGTGGAACTATGCAGGCTGAACCATTCCTCACGAAGACATACACTGTAAACTCACCCCATTCATTCAAGCAACACTTTAGCCCTAACGTTTGGTGTCCGTAGAATATCATACCCCACATTGTTAGGCAGAAGGAGTCAGAGTTCGATATCACTGCTCAGGTTGCCGAAAGTTTTGTGCTGCAGCTTTCAACTTAGTAGGACCCGGTCTCTTTGCCCGTGTTGATACCGCGGTCACTAATAACAGTCCAATCTTCGACCTCGAACTTCTAAAAGGAAGCTCAAATCTGCGAGCCCCCAACCTCAGGGCGGATTTCCATCCCGAGTCACGCACAAGACATGTCGGTCTTCTGATGGTGTCCAGCCCGGCGACGTGAGGAGGCAAGCACTCAAGAACATCCGCCGAGTTGAAAAGTGATCATCGTGGAGCATTAAGTTGGGAAACACGAAGAAAAGGGCTACGATCATTGACACTTTGCAAGTACAGGCTTTCTAGGAGCGCAATGATTGGCTTTTGCACCGGCGTACATGGCGATGGGAATCAGGTCTTCTTTGCTAGTTTGGGGCAGCACGGTTAGCTGAGTGAATTCCCTGGCTGACTGGGTAAAGTAAACAGGGTGGAGCCCGGAACTCAACGCCACCCCACTGTGTGACTATAACAACATGAATAAATGCCAGGCCTTGCCACGCTGCCATGCCAGACATGCATGGCAAGTCCCGCAGCAGTCTGTTTGGTGGGAATAGATCTAGACCCGGGCGACTGGACAGCCAATTCGGAAGATGACAGGGTGCCCGCCCAGCAATATAGCGTGTCTTGGCACCCTCCCTTCACACGGAGTGACACCCGTTGCGAGATGAAAATCGGCCGGATTGGGACCTGAGTTGGCATCTCCGCAATGCCTCCCCGTACGGCCCCACCACTGTGCTCTCGGGGTTTGTCCGCAAAGGGATCTATCTCCAAAGGGGCCCGTCGCGAGGTATAGGCATCTGATTATATATCTACTTGGGCAAGACTGGCCTTCGCTCCAAGCCACGCATCCATGGTCACCCTATGCTTAACCGGTTTTGTTCCACCCCATATGCCAGACTGAGGGGTCTAAACCTTAATTACAATCATTCCATTCTTGGCCCTGCACGATGAAGGCCTCACTGTTCTCTCTTTTCACTATTCTCGCCGGCACGTCGAGCGCCCAGGTCCAGGGGAAGGCGTTCGGTTTTGCTGCGGGCACTACTGGAGGTGGCTCAGCCGCGCCTCAGATTCCATCGAGCATTGCTCAGTGAGTGTAGACGGTGTTCAAGCCACTCCACTACAATTAGAGGCTAACATTCCCCAGACTCAAGGAATGGCTCACCGACAGCACAGCGCGGACCATCATGATCGACCGTACCTGGGACTTCCGCAATACCGAGGGCACAACCAGCGGCAAATGCTGCAGTGACAACCGGACGACCAAGTGTCCCGGCGGTACCTCCAAGGGCCAGGCCTGGATCCAGGACACGTGCGATGCTGCCAGCGGCACCTGGGTAGACTGCACATATGACAATGCAGCCAAGACACCCATTGACGTGGACAGCAACAAGAGCATCGTCGGCGTCGGCACCAAGGGTGTCATCATTGGCAAGGGTCTGCGTGTCCGTGGAGGCAAGAGTAACGTCATTATCCAGAACATCCATATCACCAACCTCAACCCGCAGTACGTCTGGGGCGGCGACGCCATCACCCTCGATGGTTCCGACAAGGTCTGGATCGACCATTGCAAGATCTCCCTGATCGGCCGCCAGTTCATCGTGTCCGGCTGGGGCGCCGCTGGGAAGGTCACCATATCTAACACCGAGTTCGACGGCAAGTCGGAGTGGTCGGCCGGCTGCAACGGCAAGCACTACTGGACAGCCCTCCTGATCGGCGCCAAGGACTACTACACCTTCTCGGGCAACTGGCTGCACGATGTGTCTGGCCGCGCGCCGCACATGGGCACCACAAACACGGCGGGCAGCGAGAACCTCTTCCACGGCGTCAACAACTACTTCCAGAACGTCGGCGGCCACGCCTTCGACATCGACGGGAACACCTGGGTCCTGCTCGAGGGCAACTACTTCGACACCGTCACCACCCCCATCACTCCGGCCAGCCTGACCAACGGTGGAAACATCTACGTCGTCAACACCGTGGCCGAGGCATCAGCCTGCACTTCCCCTCTGGGTTACATCTGCGAGTGGAACCGTGCCCAGAACTCTGGTACCGTCAACACTCTCACCAGCTCTGCTGCACTCTCCAAGCTGGGCGGCTTCAAGTCCTCGCTCATCGGCCACATCGGCGTGGCAGATGTCCCTGCAAAGGTCAAGGCCAATGCTGGTGTTGGCCGGACGACCAGCACCAATGCTTAGGCAGTCATTACATAGTTACCTTTGGATTCGAGACCTCCCATGCATGAAGCACAAACAGGACGTCACAAACATGCGAGACTCGTTCTGACGACGTCCACACAATTTTTGGACATTCAGTTGTATTTAATTTTCCAATATGTACATAAATACATCGCGGCTGTCGCCGCTTTTGCACTTCACATATTTACGATGAACGGTCCACCTCAGAGCTGTCCCTCACTTCAGTCAAACTAACTTGTAGAACTGTCAAGAACATCAACACAGATCGGTTGGATGTGAAGTGGGATCACTAACATTTAAAGATGTGTGCTACGTTCCGATGGTATCTGAACTCGAATCCCCTGTCTTTCAGCGGCCGGAAACGTGTCTTTAGAATGTGTCACACGAAAATAAGAGGGAAAAGAAGGCTCTGATTCTCTCAGGAAGTACGTACAGAGGGGGGCCCTCTGGGCCCCATTTATATACCCAATTCAGCCCAATAATAGTCCCATTTTTCTCGTGACAGAATGCAATCATACAAGTGTGTGTGAAAATTGGGCTGGGGAGGGGGGGGGTCATCATGAAGAGGAGAACGCAAAAAGGCCTGGGGCATCTCAGAGCCAGTAGCTGTACAAGAGATGTACCTGTTGTAATAGACACAACTTTCAAGAATTAAATCCTGCTTTGAGGAGCAAATCATAAAGAGAAGCCTCCAAGGTTGAATTCTTGATTGATGTCTCCTTGGTCTAAAGCTTCATTCAAGATTGATAGCACTGATGCAAATTTCAGGACCCCTCGATGGTGCCTTATCACTTACTGAACAGACTTTCTTTCAGTAGTGACTGGGTGCTTTCATTGTGTTTCCTCAGTCTGCCCAATTATTCAGGCTGACATCCATTCCACAAATTTACAAAGCCAGTGGACCTGCTCACAACAACGGAGACCACCAGGCAGCTCCATCCCTCGCATCGATCTGATCAATGCTCGCTTTTCAGCCAGTTTCCCCATCAGAAGAAAAGCTTACCTCTTGTTCATTTCTGTCATTTTGCCTCTTCGATGAGAACATTCTCACCGTCCTTCCAGTCAAATCCAGGCAGGCGGCAAGTGACCAGGTAATACGGCCTACGGTTCCGAGTTAACACATCGCCATCATAAGCAAAATGCCATCCAAAAGGAAGGGCCGCAAGAGCCGAAAGGCTGCGAAGCAGCAAAAAGTCCATCAAGCCCACAAGCACCGCGAGGCGCGCCAAGCACGACGTGACCGCAGGAGTCGACGAGACACTGAAGCCGCGAGTGTCGCATTGGCTGACGTGGGCTTCCATCGTTTCCCACACCTCCCGCTCGAGCTCAGAGAAATGGTCTGGGACGAATGCATCCCATCGCGCTTGGTCTTCCATGGCCTAGAGCCCTCCGGCGGTATTGATACCGGTATACTGCACACAACCAGCGACGGCCGCCTATAATTTCCCAGGTTTGCCGCGAGGCTCGTGGATTTGTCTTGCGCCACGGTTCTCGAATCACAATCGGAACATGGGGTATCAGGTCAGGGCGTCGTCGTGGGGACGCACATAAGCTGCGCGGATTGAGGGAAAAGGCATGGTTTGATACCAGAAGGGACACCCTTCTGTTATGTGAATCACTATTCAGGCGATCTGCATATCGATCGGCCAGCTGGTTGGATATCAGCAACGATGCTGTAGCGGCCATCAAAACTTTAGGTCGTCTTGCTTGTCTGTACAGAGGAGGAGAGCGCATCCCCGATGAGTACACAATCGACATGCTTGGCTTGGAATGGCTACAGAAAGCAGAGGTGGCGTATATCGTCAAGAAGCATCACGTCGTGGCAACCCCTTCGGCGGTTATCGCAAGCGGTCTGTTCGGCCTCTTTGGTGAGAGCAGAGCCATCTTGGTCGATCTCGGTGACACAGAAACATCTGATACCCCTAGAAGGCCACGGACGGGTCTTACCTCCACGGCCATCTCTTCCGGAGACAAACCGCCCACCATGAGCTTTCACAATGTCACGAAGCTTCCCCTCTTGCTTCGAACGCGAATTCCTAAATCTTCCTGGACAGCATGGGTTTCCGAGAATTTTAGGAGGTGCTGCGAAGACAGCCCAAAGTCCCGGATGCTCGCCTTGGTGATCTTGTTCCCTGATTATAATATGCACACAGCAGGTTGCAAGAGCAACCAAGGACGATGGTCTCACTGTACCGGAAGCTGTCCTCCCTCAGTCTAAACGCCGGTGACTCCTGTTCTCAGGGGCCCGGGCGAATTTGGACACCACTTATAATCACTGGCAGGGCAAAGGAGCGGAAAGTGGTGGCATGAAAGGACATGGCATGTATTTCTGAGGCTAAAACGTTTGAGTCGTAATACTACTAGCTCATTGGTTGTTGAGTGCCCAGAAAAACTACCGGGTGATCCTGTTGGACGATTTTATACCGACAACCCGGAGGGCTGGCATGAGACCAGTACGGAGTAGACTAGAGACTGTCATCGCCATCATGAGCATGACAAATTGGACATCTATGACGGAGGATATTACACCACAATGAAAAACAACAGAACGCTTATATTAGTCAAAGGGGCACATTCTGCTCCAACCCTTATAAGGTGCTGGGGTGGTATCCAGTCAGGCACATTGCCTTTAACCCCCTTGGGGTTGTTTGCAAACTAACACAGGAGCAGATCCATGTGGGATGTATGTCTCATAGTGCATCAGGAGGTGCTCCGTGCCGTAATATGCTACGATGTGGTTGCACACGACGAACTTGTCCTAGTGTTGCGTCTGCAATCGATACATTGATCTGTCAGATGTTGCATGTAAATGTCTGTCTCTCTCTCACACGAATATCCCCACATTCGTCCAAAGCCTGGACCTCTTTCTCTACTCAGATTGCCGTCGGACAGGTTCGGCCGGAGTAGGAGGATGCCTTCCCGCTGCAGGACTTTCCCGGTCGCAGATCACATCGTCCATGTCCTCATCAATGAGCCCCTGGGTGAAATGTCCATGAGAAGCGTCATGAAGGCCCTGACCAGCGTCATAACAACCACCACAGAGGTGGTGATCCGGGCAGGAGGGGCAGGAGTAGGCCATAGAGATGATTTCACAGCACTCGGCGCACCACACGGGCAACTGCTCTGCCTGGCTTGCTTGCAAGTGCTTGCTTCCGAGATCGGTCACGACTGTCACATCCCACCTCCTGTCTTTGCTGGCCCCAAGTCTCTCACCGGAACCTGGGTTGATTGTATAGCAGGTGATGCCCAGGATGAAAGCTGGAGGAAGGACGCTTAGAGGCTGATCTGAGGACGTAGCACCTGAATTAAGGTTTTGCATAGAGGCGGAGAAACTAATGAAACCTCAAGGAAGTGCCTTCCCGTTTACTTCAAAGTTAAGATCATAGACTAAGCGTGGACCGTTTAAGACGTCTTTTGCTTCACCAATTTGTATTGATGGACGAAAGCTTTGGCATGTGTGTTCTTATTGTTCGCACGCTAGCAGTTGCTAGTGGTTGGGATTAACAACAAGCCGGAAAAGCAGCTGCCTTCTCGTGGAGTTTTTGTACATAGCCACTTAAGAGCCTCCCTGTTTCTGGTTAGTAATTTGCGGACGCTTCTTTGCGGATACTAAATACCAACCTCGCTAAGTAGAAATTGCGCGGTAATACTTTCAACCCAGGCTGAGGGCTTCACTCCTCGTTTATACCGCCTTAAAACCTGCATCCTTAGCGCGGATTAACTGAATAGCGTCCTTGGGTGAGGCCTGGAGTGGCCAGCCATGGCAATACTTAATGCGATAGTTAAGGGCCAATTGGTGTCGTAGTTTGTCAGGAGTGCGTGTTGGATGTTGAAAGGCTTTCCTGCCTCTGAAGCGAGTCCTTGCAATTTGCCCATATGCTCGTTCACGACGTGAGCAAGGTATGGATTGTAATAACTTCCTTTAGAGCATATGATAGCGAAGTCTTTGCCTAGTGTAAATAGACAAAGGCATAATTCTTCAAAGGTTCGAAGGGCGGGACCATGTGACTGTTTGTATAACGCTTGGAGGTGTGCAATGGTCAGCGTTATACCTGAACAAGGGTCTTCCCCCCCCAGTCGAAGGCTTTTCGGATTTCCATCTTCATCTAAAGGGCGCCGCTCGGGGTTGACTTCGCTCTTGGCCTGTTCCCACTTGTCGAGAAAATTTACAATTGCTTCGGACGACCGGTCAGGTGCTAATTCCTTGCGTTCCTTGCGTAGGAGAACCTAGGCTGCATCGTTCAGGGTATGGCTACCACACAGCGCACCTATAGACGGATCAGCACAGACAAAACACGTCAGAACTGGAAGGGGTCAACTTAGCATAATACCAACAGGCCAGTCCGGGCTGTCATTGGACTTACAGCCGTCATATTTCCCTCGCTCATCGAAATAAACAGTCTGGACCTGGGGGTTCTGGACTCCAATGTTTGTCAGAGCATCTCGTGTCAGCACGCCCATCACCTGACGAGATTAATTGGAATGGTGGTATACTCTTCCTTCTTTTCATGTTCGGAATGGTTCAGCTTCCTTGCCCTGAATTGGTACAGCATCTTCTTGCGACACAGTACGCCGCCGAAGCTCGAGCAGCCACACATTGAGACAGGGACCTGAACACCTTGAACGACGACGAGGAGACTGATAGCATGTACGAGGATAATCACGAGAGCCCACATAGCATGAGCCACCTTCGCGATGCCGACAGTGTCAACAACGTCGACAATGGCCCTTCCGCGGTCTAGCAAGAGGAGAGTTACAATGAATCATCTGCCCATAGTCAGCAATGGTAATACAGTTCATGCGTTTCGCCCTGTGGACAAGGGCAATTCATACCGGCCTGGAGACATGAGCGAGTTGAACAATGCCTACCAGGGAAAGAGGGGTTTTCGGACAGCATAGCATCAGTATGTCAATTACCTAGCAATACGAACTGTACTTGCTTGCTAAGAGCCTTGGAGCGATATCCATTCTTGACACAGGAGGCCGCTATTTTGGGATCTGTGAACACCTGAAATGGGTCAACGTAATCCTTTCTTGACTTTAGATGGCTTCTTTCACAGGTGAGACTTTGATCCATCTGCAGCACAAAGCTCGTGAAGAAAAAGGTGAAAGTTCTCCTGGACGCACGACTGGCCGGCCACTGTAGTAAAGTGTGCTCATCCAGAAGGCTACTGGCTTGAAAAGCCTTGAAATTCAGTCAATATTCAATCTTTGGGATTCTTAGTGGACATGTTCTGTAGAGTTGAGGAAAAGATTGCCTCTTGCTTGCTTCTGCAACTTTGATACCAACGTCGTTCCACGGAAACCGCTGATTCACGGCAGTCTCACGGCCCAAGGACAAGTGAATGGACGGAGCTGCTGTTGATGTGTTTGTGCTTCACCTAGCTTCCCATGAGTGAAGCTGGCACATCGGAACTCAGCTCGATACAAAATAATGCTATTTCCAAACTACAAGCAAACTACACACCTTTCAACCCTGGGTCGTCTCGATCCCTTCCCATGACCGCCATCGTCAATTTGCGACAACATCAACGCTTGCTCTGCATCCCGACATCACGCACACCTGCTCAGTCCGTCTCTCGATTCATTCTCACCCTCGCAAACAAGATGAAAGCCGATCATACCACACTTCTCCTTGCAGTGCAGCTGCTCTTTATTGCTTACGTTCTTTCCCTGACCAACATGGCGGCCAATCGCACAACCCTTCTCTGGGCAGTGGAGGTGCTCTGTGTCGCTGAGTTTCTTTCCCAGGGCCTTGTGCTTTACCTGGAGAGGATGATTGGCATTCTCGTGCGGGGAAATCTCGCGTGGAGCATTCAAGGCAGCATACTGAGCACAATTGTTGGAGTCATTCTCCCATTCATGGTCAATCTGCACTTCATCCGCTGTTTCCTCGAAGAATTACAGCCAGAAGCGGAAACCATCGACTTCACTGTTATCCAAAGGAGGCACATTGCAATTGCGATCCTGTGCATTTTGCTACTGGCCTTGGGCCTCCTCTTGGGAACCGGGCGTTACTTACGGACAAGTAGGCCCCCCGGCTTGGAGGACCGCCGTCGCAGGCTTGAAGAGTTGTGGAACACGGTTTCGGCACTCTTTGATGCTGCCATAGGCCTTCTACTCGCCTTGAGATCTCACCAAATCTTTTGGGAGATTCTAGTCGTTGTTTCCCAGTCACGAAACATCCTGGAAGCCAGTCTGGATCAATCAGGCATTTCGGAGCGCATGAATCAGATCTCTAAAGGCCGTGTACTATTGGGCTGGCTCTTGGAGTTACAAACTGCTCATACGACAAGAATTTTAGAGAACGTCTTTGTCAACTGGGTTCTTGATGCACTGGATAATCTAGAGTAGGGTAAGCCCCCCCCCCCTTTTCCTCTAGGCAGTGTTCCCGCCCTTGTATCACATACTATTTGTTGACCTTCACACCTGTTGCACTGGGCATATTTTCTGACCTTCAATTTAATAGATCCCGGACTTGACATCCATAGGGCAGGTCGGGGAAACTTGTCCCATGGAGGACTGAATTGGTCGCCGGTGGAGTTTGGAATACGGAAGCCCACGGGCGGTGATGACGTGTCTTGAGCAACCCCCCCCCCAAAAAAAAAGAATCCGGGAGGTTGGGATTTATGTTCGCAGCGACGCCTGTCCTTGCTCTGTTGACAAAGGTCATAGTCCCTTAGAGGCTAGATTGAGAGACAAGGACTCCGAGGCATCCTCTAGGAAGACGAGATCGCTCAGCGCGAGGCCGAGGCTACCCGCGACGAGGAGAGGCTAAGATCTGTGTCGGGTGCTTTCGCGGGCTAGGGTCGAGTTTGGCATGATAGATTACGTTCTGGGACAGGCTAATACTTCTATACCAATGCAGACGGAGTACAGGCATCTGAAGACATAAGTGACTTCTTTCCGAAATCCTTGCTTCTTGATCGCCCTTGCAGTCGCGGAGCAGCACTTCAAGGGTCAATTCGACTTTTACCTAGGTAATATGACGATAGCTTTTAAATCTCCGTATACATAAACACGCCATCTTCCTGCCATGGCTTGGTACGTATTTCATGGCGTTTCGGGCCACGTATGTGAATTGCTTGCTAGCACTCCCGAGCTCTATGTCTATGCTTAGAGACGGAGGAAGACACTAATCGACCGGTCAACTAAGCGATAGTCCACAAACTTATACCATTCTCTGGACCATCAACGAACGCTCGTTATCTCATGCAATACCCGAACAGCCGTCGGCCTATGGTCGTATCCAGATATGACCGGCATCGTCAATCTCCACATCATCTTGGGGACCAACCAACCGCTAATCCAGTGCGAATGCTTTAGTGATGCATCCATTTAGAGACTTGATTCTAGAGCAGTATGTGAACATCAATATGCCATGAGCTGAGATACGGCTTGGTTTATGATTGGGAAATAGAAGCAGAGTAAACACACCTTAGTAGTCCGTCGAGGAGGCTGCCTCGATACTAAAGTTTGTAGCGTCCTACAATGTTGACGGACAACCTGTTGACGAGGTTTCCTGGCGCGACCAGGAGTCTAGGCTACGGATGGTTTGCTAGAGTAGATAGTAGAATAAGGAATTTTTTTGGCTATAAATTTACCAGCACCCACCTTTGCAAACCGGCTTCATCTATGCCAAGTGGCTCATCCGGTCCATTCAACACGAAACATTTTCCATTCATCTGCCACCGTACATAAATCATCACCAGGCTACAATGCATTCCATTCTCAAGACTATCCTTCTGGGTGCTGCCCTCGCCGCAACGACCCCTATCTTCCACAACACCACCCTCAACCAGCGAAGCACCGTGAGCTTCCCACCAAACTCGATCAACGGTACCCACCCGACCAACAGCACCGAGCGGTTCGGCCCAGGCGACGACAGGGCCTGGCAGGTGATCGAGGAAGTGATCGCAAGGCTCTACGGCCACCCGAAATACGGCAATGTGACCGCGCCGACCAACGGGACCGCACCGACCAACGGGACCGCACCGACCAACGGGACCGCACCGGCCAACGGAACCGTACCGGCGAGCGGAGCCCGACCGGGCAGCTTCGCCCAAGAGTGGCCGTGGTCTAGGTGCAACCCCGACGCCTACAAGGATTGCGTGTCCAGCGGCGGCGAGTTTTGCGAGGGCAAGCTGGAGAAGTACGTCCGGTGCCGCATCGACTACAGGGTCTTCAGGCTTATAGGAATTCAGCGCCCGGAAGAAGCCATCGTGTTCGGCGACGGCGAGGCCCTCCTCGACGGCAAGGTTATCCGCAACATCAAGGACAGCGCATGGAACGACGATGCCTAGAACGGCGGTTGCCGGCTCGCGGGTCGCCAGACAGGAAAGCCAGTGCCCTCACGCCTGTGCGCCGTGAGCCTTCGACTCTGCCGTCTGCCCTCCTGGTTTATGGTGTGTTTGGGTGAATGCCACTATGGGTGCGCGACTGGACAGCATTGACCACGAGTCGATCTGGGACGTGATCTTGGCATTACAAGTTAGTTACCGATGTTTGAGGAGGGAAAGTAGCTGGACGGATAACGTTGGATATTTGAATGTTCGCTCTTAGATTGTGCGGCAGGGATCTTGGATGGCAGAGGTTTCCGATCAAGCACAGTCTTTATCTAGCTAGACTATGACAATCCCATGCATATGAAAAACGATCACCGCGTAAGCTCTTCAATTTTGAGTAAGCAATAGATGAATGTGGTCATGAATTGCCACCGTGATAATACATGCGTGCATGGGGATGACACGGAAAAAAATCAAACCTTCAGACACATGGCACTTGCTACTTACCCAAACCAGCGCTGAGCAGGGTCATGCAAACTCCACGGTCGGGCTTTCGGGGGATATTATGCTAACGTTAATCAAAAACCATCACTCTTTCTGGATCAACGTTGATGGTGTCCAGACATTCAGAAATCTGCGAAATCAGGTGTCCTCTTGGCAACATGCTTTGCAGTTTGAGCGCCCATTCAGTCGACCTCAGAGTGACACTCCAAACATTTCACAGCCTACAGGAGGTCTTTTGACGGGCAAATACCGTAGCCGCATTTTCACCAAGTTCCATTGTATTCCTGTCAGGCAATGTTGGCTCTCATTGATACTACAAACAAGAAGAGGGTCACGCCAGTGATGTAGTCCAACTTGTTACTTGCCTGTCAGAGCTTTCATATTTTACTAATATTGTTTTCTGTTGTTGTGGCATTTGTTCAGCGGTCTCATTGGTAAATTTCTCCGCGTTGGATACCATCGTTGGCTGGCCGGCCTGGCCTGGCCTTGCCTTGTTTCCCCTGGGTCTGACCGCGGTTGGCATTGTCAGGTCAACATCAGCACGTGTTTACCTATGTAATTGGACCTTGCCCATGGGCGAGCCTAAGGTGGGACCAGGATGCCCCTTGCTTGGAAAATGAAGCCTTGAAAGCCCCTGTCGGACAGAGAGCGCATTGACGGCGGTGGGAACCTCGGGCGAGAACTTGCAGCCTCATCCCAACGTCATAGGCACTAAGTCACCAAAGTGCCAATCCTCAGGCAACGTGGTTCACCAAGAGTTATTTATGACCCACTGACTCGACAGGAAACGCCGTCATTCCCAACACTTGATCACGTCTGCATCTCAACACACCCATTTTGACTCTTTGGCTGCCCATCTCTACAACTCCGAACCTCACGTCACCTTCCTCTCCAGACTTTGTCTCTCTTGCTTGGCGACTCCCTCCGTTCTCAGCGTGAACTCCCACCAACGACCCCGGCTTAGCAGCTGAGCAGCCTCCGAGTCTCCCGTCCATCAAAAACCAGCTTGCAGCCCACAAACCGAGCAAGCTCTCCCAACTGCCCCCGAAGGATGGCGCCCAAGAAGGTCCGATGTACCTTCCAGGACTGCAAGGACCAGCCGCAGCGCATCGCCGGGGACTGCAGCTTCTGCAACGGCCACTTCTGCGGCAAGCACCGGCTGCTGGAGGACCACAAGTGCACCGGGCTGGACGACGTCAGTAAATAATTACCCACGGCTTTCTATCTTCTCCAGCGGCGGTGAGATCAGGAGAGAAGACGAGACCAGCTGACGTGGATCTGCAGTGTAAGAAGGAGTCGCACGAGCGCAACGCCGCACGCCTGGAGAGCGAGAAGACGCAGGTCGTCAAGGGCGTGTGATGGGAGGGAGGATCCGATAACGTGGTGGGAGGCGGTAATTTGGTGGTGCGAAGCGGTGATGTCGACGTCTTCGATACTGGATGACGACGGCCGGCCATGGATATGCCATGTCTAGTGACCGGTGATAAAGTCTAATGTTTAATCGTGGTGCGCTGAGCAGGTGGTCGCTCGGCTACGTTGGCGTACAGGGCGGAGAGGACACCGTCAAGTTCAGGATGGGCTGGCTAGTTCGGGAATACCACGTATCTTGGGACACGGACAGCGACGTGCTGTGGGCCGCGGATAATTAATATTAGCAAGACGTTGCCGCCTCTCTTCGATCGCCTACATTGCAACGTGCAGCTGAGTACCTATCCCCCGTGACGAAGAGGGTGCTCATCCTCGTTTCCCTCGCCGCTTCGTAGGCCGCTTCGGCTCGTCTAGGGCATCCTTCTTGTCGTCCAACACCGTGGCGCCAGCGACATCAGCTATGGCATCTTGTACCGCCTCCTCCAGCTTGACAGCCTTGGCATCCCCCTCTACCTCCAACTCCACCTTTGCCTCCCGTAACTTGCGCCCCTGGTTGACCTTTGCCCGGTCCGCCGCCTTGCAAAGCCCGTCAAGACCCAAATTACAATCCCCACACTTCCTCCCAACAGGCGCACACACAGTCTGGCCCAGGCCGACCAGCAGCCAGTTGATCTCGCGCCACCTGTCGCGCGGCAGCCACGCCTGCAGGGCGAGCCGCGTCTCCTCGGGCGTCTTGGTCTTGTGCCAGCCCCACAGGTTGGTAATGCGGTGCACATGCACGTCGACGCCGATGCCCTCGGTGCGGCCCCACGCCGACGACAGGCACAGGTGCGCCATCTTGGGCCCCACGCCCGGCAGCGAGACCAGGCCCTCGATGGAGTCGGGGATATCACCGCCCCACGAGTCGCGCAGCATGACCGCCGCCTGCTTCAGGTACCTCGTCTTGTTGTTGTGGAACCCGACCGCCCAGATCAGCTCGTTCAGCCTCTCGGGCGCCACGGCGAGCATGTTCTCCAGGTTCAGCCCGGGCGGCGCCCCCTCCTCGTGGGGCGGCAGCTCGGTCTGGAGCCTCCTCATGGCGACGGCGTTGGTGGTGTCTTTCGTCTGGCTCGACAGCATCAGGGCGACGAGGGTGTGGAAGCGCTGGTCGCGCGGGCTGGCGGTGGGCAGGGCCAGGCGCTCGCAGCCCATGGTGTCGACGGCGGCGTTGGCGGCGGCGCCGGCCAGGCGCATCTGCTTGGTCGCGTCGTAGAGCTCCTCCCAGTCCGAGGGTGCGGCTACGGTCTCGGTCCCGGTGGCTGGGTCCTGGGTCTTGCGTGCGGGCTTGCGGGCGCGGCGGGGGGAGGGCGATGGGACATTTGTGAGGGTAGTGGTAGACTCGAGCTGTTCTGCCTCGACCTTGACTCGGTTACCGCTGGATTGGGTGGTGGAGAGGACGGTGGTTCGCTTGCGCTTTCGAGTGGAGGTTGGTGTTGAGGCTGCCACTGCTGAAGCCGATACGGCAGAGGGAATAATGTCCTCGATATCTGGAGTCGTGGTCGTGATTTTGGTCTTCGCCTCGAGGGTGGAGCTTGTGTGGCCGCCGGCGTAGGCAAATTGTGCCAGTGACGCTCTCGTGATGCGGCGCAGCGGCGCCGTCGGAGAAGCTGCCATGACGACTTGAGTGCGAAATCCCCCACTGTCCAAACCCAAACCAGGCTCAGGTTCTGGTTCAGGTCCTGGTTGAGGAGGTTGAAATTCCGGCTGGCTGACTTGTTATGAAACTTTGCAGCTTGAGGACCAGCCCAGGCCGTCATTGACCGAGGTGCCACTTTGGGGGCTGGGCTGGGTTGGGGATTGGCAGCTGTGGGCCTGATCTGGACCTACCTACACCGGTCCGTCCAACCTTATTTTCCCCGCATTAGATTGCCCCTGCGGCCCTGACGCGGCTCAATGGGCGCCTTTGCATTACACACCGGGTGGGTACCAGATCTCTGTGAACCTTTCTCTGTACTCTCTACTCTCCACTGTATATTTTGTAGACTATGTTTCGAGTGCGACGATACCCGTACATTTGCAGTCAGCCTCGTCTGCCGCCCATATACCTAGCAGCAGACTTGCACTACCGCAGGAGCCTTTGCAACACCGACCCATGCATCAACCTGGACCTGGTCATGGAGCCAGAGTACGCCCACCCAGCTTCCACAGTACGCCCACCCAGCTTACAGCGTTGGCCCACTTAGTATAAGGAAATTGGCTGCATATATTAATAAAATATAGATATACTTTAGATTTTACCCCTTCACTCCTTTACCCCTTTACCCCTTTACCCTTTTACCCCTTTACCCCTTTACCTCTTTACTTTTTTATACCTTTTATATCTTTTTACACCCTTTATACCCTTTTATACTTTTTATATCCCTTAAAGCCCTTTTTATTATTTAAAGCTCTTTATATTTTTAAAACCTTTTTTATTTTTAAAAGTTTTTTATTTTTTAAGGGCTTTTTTATTTTTAAAAGTTTTTTTACCCTTAAAAACTTTTTTTATTTTTAAAAGCCTTTTAATTAAAATAACTTTTTAAAAAATATAAGGTAGCTTTTTACTTATTAAGAAAGTACTTAGTTTTATTAATATATATAGCCAATTTCCTTATACTAGGTGGGCCATCGCTGGAAGCTGGGTGGGCGTATTGTGGAAGCTGGGTGGGCGTACTCTGCCTCCTGGTCATGGAGCATTGTTTTTGCCGAATCCAGGTAGGACCAGGAATAGTACGCCCCAGCCCTATGACAAGGAACCCCAAGAGCTTGACGCTTCTGATCCCAATTCTTGAGCCGCATTGACTGAGTAATGTTATTAGTCATCATTCCATTCGTGTCTAAAAGTATTCATTTGGCTTATCGGTTTGTCGTATCTTCTCAAAGTCGGCCAAGTGGCCCATTTCAATAAAGTGGTTTGGCCATCGTCTCGCTCTTATTGGACATCTGAGACCCTGTGCTGTATGACCAAGAGTTGGCGCAGTACTAAGACATTCTGCTGCTGCCGTGACACGCCGCTGATCATTCATTTTGCCCTCAGTGGGGACGGGTTCTTCAGTAATGATTTATGAGGCATTTGTAGACTTTGTTCCTGCCCCGCATTTCTAAACGACTCGTCGCCCCGCCTCAGTCCCGCATCACAGGCTGTGCTCGAGGCTGGGAGCACTGTTGATGATGATGGCTGCATCGACAAGACCTCAATTTGTAGATCCTTCAGTTGCACTTCCGACTATTGATCCTACTTGTCAGATCCGTCTTCTTCTCCTGTCCTCGAGCAATGAACAGTGCTTGGTCTGCCGACTCAAAATCGTTCCCATTGATGAGCCTCCACCATACGAAGCCTTGTCCTATGTTTGGGGCAACGCGGACGAACTGCAAGTTGTCACAATCGATGGAAATGCATTCAGAGTCACACAGAACCTCTACGCGGCCCTGAAGCATCTTGTCCTCCCAGACGGCGCCGTCCGCGTGCTCTGGATCGATGCCATATGCGTAAACCAGGGCGCTGAGCAGAGTGATCTGGCTGAGCGAAGCCACCAGGTCCGACTCATGAGCCGCATATTTTCTGGCGCTACCGGCGTTGTTGCCTACCTCGGGAAGCCGTATCCCGGACTTTTCGAGGCCATGGAGTTCCTCACCGTTGCTGCGGGAGGACAGCAGTCACATCTCGATCGCCTTACTCAGAGCGGGAACTACAACGTTCCTCAAGTTTGCCGTGCTCTGATATCCTTTTTCACCCAACCCTGGTGGGGAAGGATCTGGACGGTGCAGGAGCCCATCGTGGCCCGCAAAGTATCATTCCAGTTCGAGAGACTCGAGATCGATTCAGACATCGTTCGTCGCGGTATCTTCAACATCGTCACTTCAAGGATACGAGCACCTTTTGAGTTTGCGGAGTTGGATCCAACTACAGGAGAGAGCCTGTCTACGGCATTTACAAGAATGTCAATGTTATCATTGTCTTATACTGGAACATCGCTTCTCAATGCACTCGGGGCCTTCCAAAATCGTAGCTCGGGAGACCCTAGAGACAAAATCTACAGCCTGATGGGTCTCTTCCCTGACTCTGACCATGTCGTCAGCATAGACTACACTATTCCCGCGGAGCGCCTATTTCAAGACTTCACGCTGGCCTGGATCCATAAACACCAAGATCTAAGAGTACTCAGTCACCTCCACAATCCAGCACGTCGAGTACACAGGGACATGCCGTCTTTCGCTGTTGATTGGGGTTACCGGCCCTCCATACGCTCTATCAATGCATTGCACAATCGAAGTCTGATCCAGAATGAAGCATTCGACGCATGCACAGGTTCCAAAGCCATTTGGCACCTCGAACCCGCGGGGCTAGTACGAGCAAACGGCTTCACATTCGATTCCATAGAGGCTGTTGGCGCCAGGCACGTCCTCGAGTTTGGCGGTTCATGGGCTACTAGGTTCAAGACATTTCAAGGCATCGTGGACATGGCAAGTAAAAGAGGCGGAAATGATCGTCAAGGACAAGAACAGGCTCTCGCCGCCGTACTGCGCACCCTTTGCATGGATTGCAAGCAGGTGGCAGGGGTCTACAGTAGGTTGCGGGGCGAAGACGACGAGCGCATGTTGAAAGCATGGTGGGGCAACGCCTTCAAGCCAACTGCTCCGTCCCAAGCAGACAGACTCGCCGGCGAGGGCCACCCGATAGAGACCACCGTGTGGATCGCGTCGTTGGAAAGGAGTTTCGTCTTCACAGACGGTGGACACATGGGCCTTGCTCCGGACTGGTGTAGGGATGGGGACGCCATCGCCATCTTGGGTGGAGGAGCTGTACCGATGGTCCTGCGGCCGGTGGGTGAAGTGGCCGCTCAAGGAGGCGACACACCGGTGTTTGAGGTCGTGGGCGAAGCATATGTACACGGCGTCATGGACGGACAAGCTTTCAGAGCCAAGGGCGGGAGTGAAAGCGACTTTGGCGACATTTGTCTGGTTTGACAGGTTGCGAAATGTATATTTGAATGATAATAAGTGAACAGCCGGCTTCAGGCGCTCAGCAGTGCTTGCAATATTTAGTCTTAGCCCCCGTTGCAGCTTATAGTAGGAGTCAATTACTAATTAAGCGTTTAAAGTCTGAGACCTCAAATGAATCCATGGTTAACCCACATACCCCCCAGAACCTCCGCTTCATCAAATTCAGAAGCATCGGGAACAGGATGCTCCCGGTAACTACTATACATGGCCACCAACTCAGGAATAGTTAGTGTCGAAAACAGCAGTCCTCTCATCCATGCTCGACACCATATACCTCCAAACCCACGGCTGCGGTCTGCCCCCCGCCTCCTCCCCGCGTCTCCGGCAAAACACGACGTTGAACGGACACTCGAACCCGCCTCCTGGCTGCCACGCGGCGGCACATTCCCACCCATCAAGCGGTCTCATACCCTCCGGCGCCAGAACGAGCTCGGCCACGTCATCGGCTTCGTCGAGCACACCCACCCAGAACATTGCCTGGTGGGATTTGCTGCCCTCGGTCAGCCCCGGCCCGGTCAGCACGAGGGCGTGCTCGGCCAGGGTGCGGAACTCCTCCGGGACGGCGATGATGTCGCAGACCTCGGGGAGACACTTTTGCTTCAGTGCGCGCTCTAGGTGGGAGAAGTACGTGTCCCGCTGGAGCACGTAGTCCGGGTCGGTCAGGAGGTCTGGCTCGTGTGTGCCGACACCGTCGAGACCTAGGATGGGGACAAGCTCTTCGTAGCGCGTGAGGACGTCGTTTGGGGATGAGACGTAGGGCGCGATCCTGTCATTGAGCAGAGAGGCGAGACTGTCGACGCGAAGGTCGTTCATGTCCTCCCCGTCGTCGTCGGAGTCTAGGTCTGACTCTTGTTCAAGTTGCGCGGCAGCAACGAATGGCACTCAGAAATAGGGTCAGCTCATATTCGGTCGGTAAGGCAGAGAAGAGATGGTGTCGCTAAGAACCGTACCGACGACTTCTATAGTATCCCGGTTATGAGACGCGATACGAGCGCGGTACGCATCCACGGCGGCCTTGATTTCCTCGGGCGAGGAGTACATTCTTGCTACTATCGATTGCGCAACCAAACGGTGAGACCTTTGGAATATGAGTCAGATAGGATGAAAACTGCGCAAACATTAGGAGTGGCAAGACCGTTGGAAGGCAATGAGGCACTCGTGCGCCTGCGCCCAGTCCCGTCCCAGGTTGCACTTGAGAATTTGTGGCCCACATGAGTCCTGCCGAGGGTACTTCTTCGACCGGCTTCTACTGGGCCAATCCCGTCCTCTGAAGTCTCTTTGTCAGCCTCTCAGAAGACAGATACATAGACCGCTAGATTTCATTCGATTCCTCTCTCTGTAGTACCCCTTCTGGTGTGAGCATGAACACACTGGCATGACCACGTCGCCAAGAAGCGGGGTGACGATAAATTTCTAACCACTTAGCAGTCTTCGAATCACCAGCCCTCTCAGATTCGTAAATGGTTAATTTCCGTGTAAGGAATTAATGCCCCTCAGTATTCCCCTAGTTTATCACAACCTCAGGTGCATATGCTGGAAGTATTATGAAGGGAAATATATCTTTGTTACAGTGTACAATATAATTGCTTTTGACCCCCAGGCTAGGTGACACAAGCTGCAACGCTAGATGAGCAATCAATGTGGTCTGGTAACTCGAGCGACCAACTGACTGATAGTGGTCGTCGGAGAAAAGAAGCTGCGGTGCCGGGTCAGGGAGAGCATTCCATATGAATCAATTGATGTCATAGCGCATGTGCTGTGCTTTTTATGCCATTCCATGCACTCAAAAGGAATTAATGCCATAAAGTCTTCTCCCAATCCTCGGCTCATCAAAGCTCCAACTAGCGTTTCGGTGACCAAAACTACTTCCTACAGTTGAGTGGAGCCAATCCTCCACCAAAAATCCCCTTCTAAAATGGCAGGGGAGTACTCAGATGCATCTAGCTCATATTGGGCTCCAGGGTGGAACTTTGAACGATGGGTGCGCGCGGATGAAGAAGATCTGGCCACATTGCCCGAGGACGAGCTCGTCAAGATCCAGGACGGACTACGCGACATACTGGGAGACGCTGGTATGAGTAAGCTGTCGCGATACATGTTCGATTTGGAGCAGCAGCAGGAGGAGCAGCAACAAGAAGACAATAAGAAGCGCACACTTGAGGGGGACTTCAAGGGACCGCCAACCTCTTCCAGCGCCGAAAACAATCAAACGCCCGCCTTCTTGCCACCCAATTGGCTCAGAATCTGGAGAAAGCACTTCAATGGGCAGCAGTGGGGCTTTGTTGTTTTCCGCGCTGCCTGCTATGGTGGCAGCGATGACGACGAGCAGCGTTGGGCTAGATTCAAGGAGCAGGTTCAGCGAATTGTTGAGCTTCCCTTTGAGCGCGCCATTTCACAGGCGAAGGAGGAGGGCGCCATCATCCCTGATGATTTCGACAAAGCCAGAGCCAAGTTTACCATTCAGTGGGAGGAGTTTCCTGCAGGGCAAGAGTCGACTTCCGCCATTCCCAGCTCAGAATTGTTCCGTTCCGAGTACGCTGCTCTGAAGCCCATTCTGAACTCTGGCTTATCATGGGATGTTTTCCTCTGCGCCTCTACGGAAGCAGTAGAGTCATTCGAAAAGGAGGTGTCAAATACCGATGAGATGAGCAGTCTCTGGAGGCCCCGGGCACCATTCTTACTGGCCGTTGCGGCGGACAAGGATGCTGGGCTAGAGCCTGATCATGAAGAAAGGATATGGCTCAAGCCGGTCTTCAAGGTTGCTGCCGAAGCACTCGTGGAGTCACTCATTGACGTTGTCGACATGGGCACACCGCTACAACGCGTCACGCGCAACGTCAGAGGAGCAAACGAGCTCGATGAAGCGACCGAGCATCAAGACCAAGAGGAGCCGAACCAAGAGGCGGAAAGGCTCGACGAGATTTGGTGGTCGATGCACCCATCGCCCGAGCGGCTGAGAAAGAAGCGCAGAAAGACACAATCCTGAAGTCGTCGTAGTAGAACCTACCAGGGGGGAGGGGGGTTTCTGACTGGGTCACGCAATACACTCATGTTTTAATATTTAATCAAAATTTCATAATTCTAGTAAAATGCTAATAAAAGGCTATTAAATTACTATTAAAATGAAATTATATTAAAGCTTTAAATTATATTAATATTAACTTTATATTAATATTAATTATATATTAGCTAATATTATTATAATTTTATATTAAAAGCTTTAATTTAAATCTTATTAATTTTAAATCTATTTTTATTTTTAGATATTTTCATAATTTTATAAATCCTTTTATAATAAATAATTAAGCTAATAAAGAATAAATAAATAGTTAGGTTAGGGATAAGGAAAAAAAAAAGGTTTTCTTTTACCCTTATGTTAAAGAGTTAACATAATATCATAGCATATTAGGAATGATTATATATTAATAATGTATAAATAATGCAATATATATATAAAAAAAGCACGTTAAAACCTTAATTGCATATTATTATTATATCGCTATGTCATTAATATAGTAGTACGATGTTAACGAAAACCCCCCCTCCCCCTGGTAGGAAGCGGTTCAAAGAAGATACCAAGTACCCATGGAAAGAATCTTTCGTTGGACAACAATTTGATCTCAGTCCCACATGTTCATGTGGGCCCCAAGTACTCAAATACGATTAAAACAATAAAAATTGTGATGGTACGGTGCTTATATACTGCCGGGTATTTCCAATCTGACGAGTGGAAATTACTGGTCTTTTGGCCGAGCGGTATCTATTTGCCCAGCAGTAATAGATTCGTTCTCATGGTTGAGATTGAGGCACTTCGCCCTTGATCTGAAGGCATCCAGGACAGAGTTGCGCTGATATGAGCAGTCCCATCGCAGAGTAGACCCATGCTTTTCCAGCTCTATAGATCTACGAACACCAACCTAAATACTCCCCCCCCCTGCTGTTTATAATCTTCTCCAACAAATGGTTCATTGCCCCAGTTCTGCTTTTTATCCTTAATGACTAGGCAGGCGGAAAATAAAGGCCGTTCGCTGTTCCAACGCCCACATCGCTAACCTGGCTACATCATTACATCTATAGGAGCTTAAAGATTAGATCTTGTTACTTTTCAAAACTTAGAGCAAGGTTAATCTTATATTTTACACAACAGATGCTTCGACTTTAGTTATTCACGCTGTAGACGCTTCTCGTTACCCGGTTGTCTGATGATGAATTGAACCTTAAGCCCTTACTTGAACAAATTGTATTTCCTAACCAGTGAAAGTTTCTCTCTTCAAGGAATGACATCATCCCATACCAACTCGAGACCTTCCATGTCTGTCCTTTGAAAATTGAATCCTCCTCGTTCCTCAGTCTTGTCTATAGCTTGGGCCCCAGAGCGAAAGAGGTCAGCTTTGAAAAAGTGTAATTAAGCACCTCCGGCGCCTCCGGCGCCTCCCGCACCTGCGCCACCGCCCTGAGCAGCGTTGATGTTGCCTCCAGCCGCGTTGCCTCCTGCGTTGGCCTTCTTGCCCTTGGCCTGGCGGACCTCGAACTTGTTGGCGGAGTCCTTGAGGTTCTAGTTAGTGTTCGTTCATGTGTCGAAGAATGGGTACAGCAGGCAAGGTGCATATGTATATACTTACAAAGACGTCATCACGGCGCACATCCTGGCCCTGAGCGTAGGCGCCGACGGCACGAGCGGCGGGTGAGCCCTGCGAGGGCAATCAGTTCAGGCTCTTCGGTTGCTCCAGGACTGATGTCGAGACTTACCACGTGATCACGCTGGACGACCTCAAAGGCGTCGAGCTGCAGTCCAGTGACGGCCGTCGAGGCAAGGAGAGCGGCCGCGAAGACCTTGACGCGGACAGCGGAGTACACCATTTTGATTAATGGAAAGTTTATATTGAAATAGCTGGCTTGAGAGATTTAGAGATAGAGGTAGGACCAAGCCTGTGCAATAAAGATTGTAGTAGACAGTAAAGATAGAGCCCAGCTCTGAACAGACAAGTGAAGGCACTGATGTTGGTGATGGATGATGAGTTGGATACAGATGATGAGATTGAACGTCGTTGAGACGACACGGACAAATCTTATATACCTGTGATGTCTACATCGTCGATGTGCTCTGTGACACGAGGAGTTAAACTTGGGCGTTCCCATTGAACGAACATCAGGCAGGCTCCAAAATTAGAAGAGCGTGGAAAGGGGTCACTGTTTTGCGACGAAGATCTTTCGTGAAAACCCGCCGTCACAGGAAAAACAAACATATCCTCGACCTTCTTGTCTCACCTCCAGGCCCGTCACCGTTTTGAGAAATTCAGTGAGAAGCTCATCCAGCACGGACAACGCGACACGGGCTGTGGGCGTGGGCAACACTGTCGAGCGCAGGCAGCGAAGCATCACGACCTCGTCTGAACAAAAGTTCCGATGGATCAGCAATGTGATCGTGCGGCTCGGGGGAGACCAGATCCAATCCCATCTAAACCTGGACAGAGTCTCATATGATGTTTCTCTCCGCATTTCCCCCTGTCGTGGGACCAATCATGGGGACAAGACAAGTCTGAATTAGGGCAGGGGGTATAAATCCATTGCTTCTTGTGAGCGATTCCTGCGTCCGCCGTTGAAGAATGACAGCTGCCAACCTAGCTGCATCGGTTTCATCTGATCTGCAGTCCTACTTTATGTGGCTTTGAGTACAATGGGATGCTGCTACGGCAGAGCCGTTGCCAAGACGTTAACCGATCAAGGTTTGAGGACAAGCATCTTAAGTTTGAAGCACGTTGCGAGAGCTTGCCCTTGCGGATAATTATTCGTCTGGAGTTCTCCACCGGTATGTGGGGAGCTTTCCTGTTCCTGTATCAGCACCGAGGTTGCCTTTTTGGGAGGTCATTTTTGGGACGGGCGCCACTTTGAAACGACAGCAGCAACTATCTGGACTGAAGGCACACCCAGCATGTAGTATGCATTAGTAAATAACATCGGCATAACTCGTCGGCCGAGCGTCGGCGACCCCTATTTTGCATCAAGCAGATGAGAATAGCTCGATGCGTCAGTTCTAAGAATTGTGTGGCGAGGCCTAATGCTACCTATCTGAACATGTGCCAAAATGTCCCCAGCTGCTTGGCCACCTAGGCCGTCATCTTGGAAATCGGCAGCGCTAGCAGTGTAGCAACATCTCTCTTGAAGTCTGCCAATTTCGCGGCTTCAGCCGCCACAATAGCTGGTGTATATGCCTTCTTGGCCGCCGCCGACGCCCAGTAAGCGATCTCGCCATCGAGGTACTTCAAGAAGAGTGTGGTGGCCGTCTTCACCTGGTACTTCAGATTGGCGGCGACAATCTCCTTCCAGGCGCCCACGAAGTCGTAATTGACGCCGTTGGCGGCTGCATGATTGGCAAAGTCGCCCCAGAGTGTCGTGAAGCCCGTGTTACTCGTTGAATACGATGTGACGACGATGTCCTTGGAGCGGTACCCGAAGCTGTCGATGACATCGGTCAGGATGCCGATACGGTCCATGGCGTCGTACTGCGTCCATTCCGCGTTGCTCATCCACTCCGACCCGGCCACTATGTACTCCTTATAACGGTTGAAGTCGGCATCGCACACCTGGAGGTTCGCCGTGTACTGGTTGTTCAGGCCTGCATCGGAGGTGCGTCCCAGAATGCCAAAGAAGGTATCCTGGATATTGCCAACCCAGTTCCGGGCCACCGCCAGTGAGGGAGGTGAGGCCCAATTGTTCTGGAAGAGCTGTGTCGACGACATTAGAAGCCGCGCTGACGGACCACATGCGAAGTATAGTTACTTATGCGACAACACAATTAAGAGAAGAGGACTTACCCCCTTGTCATCAAACACGCCCTGAAACGGGACGGCACCAGCCTTCAGCGGTGTCCCGTCCGGCAATGTGCCCTTCAACATGTATTCAATATTGTCGCGCAGCTCTTGTTTTTCAAAGACGTGCTCTGTGACCCAGTCCGCGTTGGGATCTAGTGTGAGGAGACCTGTCACACCAACCGCGGCGCAGACTCCCCTTCGAGCCACCGTCCAAGCCTTCCCAGTCAGCTTAAGTACGGAGGGTGCGCCTGGATGGTTCTGCGTATATAAACTGGCTCTTCCATTACCCTTAGGGTCGCACAGCGCCATCAAAGGTCCTCTGACACCATGCTTCTCAATGTCGAAATCTCGGCCGAACAATGCTCTCTCCGAGAGGAATCCAAGGTGGGCAGCATGAGGCTCTATGATAAGGGTATGGTTGACGCCAATGGTACTGTTCACCTCTCTTCGCATACGCGGATAGTGCGCTAGCCGCCGTCTTTTCCCTCCAGGAAGTGATGGACATTTGGCGTCGAAGACATTCCCTTCCTCGAAGATGTTCTTTGCCGCAGAGCCTGCCTCTGGCGTTCTCGAGAGCCCTGACACGTAGGCTGGCCCCGGGCATAGGCTGATTTCTGGCGGAGTTGGATTTGTCGGTTTATTAGGGTCGTCACAGCAGAAGTATGAGTAAGTGCCTGATCGACAGCCAAAGCCGTCCGTGGCCACGGTCACCTCTCCATCGTCACAGCCAGTCTTGCAGTCGGTCGAGAAGTCGACGAACAGATTGATGAGGGGGCCCGCCAAGATCTTCTCCCACTGCACCCACGTCGTGCCCCCAGCTCTCCTACAAGACAAAGGCCGGTTAGCGAGTCACAATCTTGTATGGGGGAGGGGGCACAATGTCTGTGTACTCACCACTTACAGCCCTTCCATGGAGCGGGATCACTGCAGCAGTAACTCTTGAACCCACCGTTATAAGAGCAGCTCTGCTGACCTCCTTCGCCCTGCTTTGACTTGGTAAGCTCCTTGGGCTTTTCCATTTTTGGACATCCATAAGATGTGAATGAGAAAGCTCCGGTGAAGGGAGTAGTTCCAAGCCCGATCACAGTTCCTATCCCAGCTGCAGTCGAACAGAACGGCGCAGCGCCGAGCCACTCACAGGAGTCGAGATTCGAGGTCGAGTCGGTCTTGCTGCAACATAAACTCTTGTGGCCTATCCAGCAGCCGTCGGTGCTCGCCGCAACCTCGATTTCTTTGCCGCTGCACCTGTTCTTGGCCAGCATGCCGCAGAACTTGGGACTACCCTTCCATTTGCAGGTGGGGGGGCTCTTCGCTGGACAGCAGAGGTTGCGCTTGCCCTTGTTGCATCCAGATTCGATGCCCAGGGGACTCGCGTTGCTTCCTGAACTTTCGACGGGTACCAGACCCGGGGGACAGGATGCGCCACACTCCCCCCAGACACACTTGCTGGCGTCTGTCTTGACGGCTCGCGCATTCAGCGCAACCGAAAAGTCGTCGCGACCACCGGCTTTGGCTAAAGCGCGGATTGCCGTGCCTTTATTATCGTCGGTAGAAGCAGCCCAGACCATAACACCGCCCAGGCAGAGGTTGTTGGCGTAGTCCATTTTGGCTTTGAGCGTCTCCTCATCATCGTACGACACCCACTGGTTATTACCCCATGTTACGATCTTGACGGCCGCTTTCTTGTCCGTGGTGACCTGGGCGCCGCCAGCATTGATAATCTCTCGGATCTCGTTGAACATTAGAGTACCGGCCGACGCGGAGCATCGCCCCGGGTTACCTCCGGCGGTGAATTTACACCCGGCTGTCTTGCACGCAGGATCCGCGAGTGTGAAGCTGCGCCCATAGAAACCCATCCCCATGACAACCTTTTTGGGATCGATGTTGTTTCTCCAAAGAAGCTATCATACCCGGTTTGAGTCCATTAGATCCGATCTCCATCTTTGAAAACAACATCAATCCGGACTAGAAATAGCAAAGTATGTCCTCGGTTACTCACCTCCAAAGCCAGGTCAATCTCAGTCAGGTTCGTGTGAGAGTTTATATACGGGCCGAGATAGGGGTTGGTCCCATCCCAGGTACCGTGCAAGTCATAGCTCATGACGTTGAACCAGTCCAAATACTGTTCCATGTTCTTGAGATCGAAATGCTGTAGGTACCAGTACGACGCAGGGAGCGTGAGTGTGAGACCCTTGGACCCAAGGACTCCTCGAAGGTTCTTGAGGAACGTCACATAGTTCTTGAAATCTTCGGCCTTGCCGGACCTCTCCTCTGCCACGCTGAAGCAGAGTCAGCAGGGCTGCAAGTGTTGGGGAGCTGAGTTGGTACTGTGAGAGGAGGTATATTCACGGATATTCCCAGTCTATATCAACACCGTCAAAACCATACTTATCCATAAAAGATAGGAGGGAGGAGAAGAAGGCTTTCTGGGCGGCTGCAGAGGCCGCGAGTTCTGAGAACGTGCGTTTCGTAGGTTGATCTGGATCGTTCATGCTCCACCCTCCTATGGCTATCTGTGTGAAAAGTCGATTAGATGTCGTATTCTTCTATTAATTCAACGCAATGCTTCGAGATGCGGTCACGTACGAAAACTTGCAAATCGGGGTTGTAGTTTTCAGGGCGGTCAACCGAGGCATGTACGTTGTGTCTGAGTCCTGCATGTTGGCGATTTCGTACGTCTTGGGATTGATAAAGGCAAAAGCGTAGTTGAGGTGAGAATAAGCTGTGTACAGCATATTCTCGGGATTCACTGCGCGAAGAAAAAAGGTCAATGAAGTCCAACCATTCTCGATTCTCATAGTCTGACTTACGTCCATTGCAGGCCTTGGACGTTGACCAGCCCTCATAGTACCCAATAACCCTCTTGTTGGCGCTCGTTCCGCCTGGACAGCTGGGTTTCTTGACCTTCTTATCACCACAGAAGTCTTTGGTCGTGCCGCAAAATCCAAATTCAGAGCAGCATACGTTTAGGGGACATTTGTCTCTCTTGCTCCATTGCGATCCCCAGCCAGGATTGCATTCGCTTTTCGCATCACAGCCGGATAAACAGTTGCCTGGCCCACAATACTTGGGGCCAATTCCACAGACCTGGTGAAATTGTCAACGATGAATGGCCATCTCAAAGTCGTATCTGCCAATACCCAGTCCAAGGTATCAAGTCCTATTCGCTAATGGAGGGAGATTCGGAACAATAAAACTGACGTTATTCTTACCACAGCAGCCAAGCTTGCAGGGTCTCTGGGGAGAACATGAATAGTCTTGCTGGGCCACTGTGAACTGGATCCAACAAGCCAAATTGCCAAGTAGCAGAAGAAAAAGGTGATGACGCAACATGGTGAGCTTGAAGATTGCAAAGCGATCTAGTAGCTGGGTTGATTGTAAGCGAGTCACACCAGGGCCTTGCTTCAAGGGAAGAGAGAGCCAACTCACATGATGATATATCTCGCACCAAGCGCAGCTTCGGGTGCTTACCCTGCGCAACCCCGATGTTCCTGAGATGAGCAGTCTTTTCTCAGCCACCGCATGATCACTTCAGTGATAAGCTCCGCAGGCCAACAGTCTCAGTTGTAGTGTTACACACACTCTATCCCATTTTGAAGATCAATGTCTCCAATACTGCAAAGAGTCCTTTTGTAAGCGGCTCGAGTTGCTCAGCCGTATACGTCACATGAAGGGTTACTGAAGCCCTTGTGACCCCCAAAAGAAATCGGATCTTCGTTATCCACTACATCGGGTGCCTATTGATCAATCTGACCGCCAAGGCAAATATCCCCTTGCCTTGCTCCCGAGCATAGCTCGCGGGCTTTCTCGGGATGTCTCAATCTCCCTACGCTTGGATGCCCCCTTTCTCTTTGTACACTGATCAGCTGACTATGACGATCACATTCAATCCCTTGATAGACTAACACTAGAATGAGTTGCTGGGAACCGGTCCGAGAGGTTTTTCGAGTTCCCCGGTGTTATATACGGTGTACCGAAGACACTAAAGCATAGGCCGGCTCTTGCAAATTTCCCCTTCGAGGTGGACCCTTTAGTTGAAGTGTCTGAATTCATGATGCAGTTGACAAACTCATTGACTCTCGCAGGGGTGGCATGGCCTTTGGCTCATGCCGCTGACCCAAGTGTATGGCACTCTTCTGGAAGCACCCAAATGCTGCAGTACTAATTCCAAGATTACCTAGTTCTTCTTCCGAACGCTTCAGACTGATACTCTTTTCGAAGGGGTCTCGGCTGCCTGTAACCTAGCGCTCTCAGCACCTGTTGTGCAATGTCCTGGAGAACTGCTGAACCTGGCTGGAGAAAACCAGTTTTACACAATTTTGAACGTGACCGTCATGGACGTGTTGTGTCGGAAAGAATGCCCGACAGCACTAGCAAGCTACAGGAAAAACGTTGAGTCGGCGTGCTCGCGAGATCCTCAACCAAGAGAGGGCTTCCCCTCGACGTACTCGGTTGATTCTGTCAGCTCTGTGCAGACACAGATGTGCTTGAAAGACTCAAAGACTGGGTCTACTGTACCGGTAAATGCTATCTGTCCAATACTGATCTTCCACGTTGAGGTCGCTTGTTGACGCAATGAAGAATTTCTGTCGAGTAATTTGGGTGACGCTGGTACCCCTGGAGACCTGCTAGGGGGATACACTGCGGCACAGTTGTGCAGTGAGTGCGTCGTCAACCTCTTCAAGCAGCAGCAGTCAACGCCGTACTCGAACTATGACCCCGAAATGGCTCAAGCGTGGGCCGCTATCCAGACCAACTGCAAACTCAGTTTCCCTACGGCAACTCAGGCCCTGAAAACAAATGTCACGAGTTTGGGAAACTATGCACCCAAAGGCTACCCTACGGCAACCTGTGTCGGCGACAGGACCTACAAAGTCGTCAGTGGCGATAATTGCGTCGACATCTCTAAGAAAAGCAAGGTTTCGACATCGTCATTGATAGTCCTGAACAGCCTGCGGATCGACTGCACAAACATCTTCGTCGGTCAGGTAAGTCCATCGGTGTATATAAATATTTAGTCTTGCTTTTCATATCATCTCTGATACTAAAAGCACGCCAGATATTGTGCCTTCCACCAGCTTGCAACGATTATGCAATTAAAAGCGGCGATACGTGTGTGGGCATCGCCTCACAGTTTTCAACTACATATCAGCAAATCATTGCCTGGAATCCAAGTACGCAAACACCAACTTTTGCTGCTTGTACCGACAACCTTGCCCTGTTGTACTCCGCTGATTACCAGAAATAGCCATCGATAACTATTGTACGAATCTGATTGCAGGCCAGAACATCTGCGTTGGGCCTCCTGGAGGCGTGAAAGACTTCACAACGGTCCCGGGGGGCAACGGCGACGACGACGGCAATTTATGCAACGGCTACAGCTGACCGGCCAGCGTCAGTCGCAAGCGGCACCACGACAAAGTGCGGGAAGTACTACACAGCTCAGCCGGTCAGTTGAAATCTCATACATGTGTAGCGAAGTACATGTAGCTGCAAGTTGTGTCCGAGTGGAAGATGCTGACTTGAACTGTTCTATCACTGACAGGGCGACTATTGCGAACTCGTGGCCTTGAATCAAACCATTTCCCTGCCGCTTTTCTACGCCATTAACCCACAGGTATGTCCTTTTACTAAAGCGATGGCTATTGTAGACGGAGAAGTCCCAAAAACAGTCCAACTAATTTCATGAAACCCCTAGATTGATAAAGGCTGCACCAATCTACAAGGTAACGTGGCCTACTGCGTCCGTCCGACGCAGGACTTCAACTCGACCGCAAGCTCGACAATCGCACCACCTCCTGCTTCGACTCCATCTGGCACAACAAAGAACTGTTATCAGTGAGTGTACCCTGGATGACCGTTGCGGCCGCAACGACCCTGCTTGTGCAAATTTCAATCCGTCAGGCATTGACCCCTGCCTCAAGATGGTATGTCATCCAGTCCGGTGACACCTGCGCTCAGGTGCAGAACAAATTCGGCATTCCATTCAAACAGTTCCAGAGCTGGAACCCATCACTCGCTGCGGACTGCCTGAATCTCCAGCTGGGCGCGGCATACTGCGTCAACGGGGCTGCCTCCATCGCCGCCCGGGCCACGGCTGCAGCTCTTGGCAGTGACGGGGAGTGGTCTCCCTACTCGCCTCCAAGTGTAATACTTGCGCATAGAGACCCTCTTCAGACCGTGCAGCCTGAGGTTGATGTGGAATCACGTGGTGGCGGTGTTGCCATGGGCTGGCCGGGTGTAAACTCCCCCAGACTGCGCAGGGCCATTGGGCTCGATTAGGTACTTCAAAATCCATTTATGCCGTTTTCTATGTAGGAAATGAAATGAGAGCTGGATTTCCTTGGTTGAATTGTCTCAAGGCTTGCAGTAACTCAGTCGTAGCCTACATAGTAGCAACCGAACCTGGGAAAGGAGAATCCGAGGGAAGAGACTTTCACATCTTTCAAACTTCACTTCATGCTTCCTTTGACCAAGGGTATCCGCAACACAAAGTCTTGTCCGTATCACCCAGACAAGTCCCGCCAGTTTCAAAGGCACTGCTCGGCTATACTTGCAAATCTCTAATAAGCACCGGCATCGAAGTGTCAGGCGTCAAATCCATAAACCGCCTCGACTGCGCGGGCCGCTCCGGCCCCCCCCTCCGTCAGCTTCATGTCGTACTTGGTGACGAGATAAATCAGGATCAGCTTGATGGTGACCTCGGCCATGAAGCGCCCCGGACACGCGTGCAGCCCCCCCGCCCCAGTCAAACGCGTCCCCAGCCGTGGACGCGAACTGGAACTTGCTCACGTCGAGTCCCAAGCGACGCCGCAGCCAGCGCTTGCCGTCGAACGTGTCTGCCTGGGGTACCAGGTTGGGGTCCAGGTTGTGGCGCAGGTTGGGGAACGACACGACGGTCCCGGCCGGGGCGTGGAGGCCGTCTTTGAACGTGTATTCGGTCATGGCGTACCGTTGGACAGTGGCTGTGGCGTGTAAGTAGACAATGGTTCCTTGTGGTCGTGGACCCTCGATGCGATTAGGAGAACGAGGGGGAGATAAAGTAGTGACTTGCCTTTATGAAACGGCTTCACGCGGAGCGTTTCCTTCATCAAATAATCCAACATTCTCAGCTCCCCAAGTGCGTGGCGTGTCCAAACGGGCGAATCCCCGAGCTCGTGCCTCGACACACGGTCAATCTCCTCGCGGATCTCAGCCAAAGCGCCGGGCGTGCCAAGAAGGCTGAACAGCGACTGTAGCGCGACGAACGAGGTGCCGTGCATGGACGCGAACATGACGATGAAGATGTTCTGCACCGTCTCGTCCGGCGTGACGGTCTTGCCGCCCGCGCGGCAGCTGTCCATGATCCACTGGATGAAGTCGTGGTGCCTCTCAGCCGCAGCACCGAGGGACGCATGGGCGGCCTGCCGCGCCTCTAGCACCGGGCGCACGAGCTCTGCAGCCTCACGGCGCGCCTCGTTGACCTGGGCTACCTCCGGGTTCAGGTAATAGGCCGTCCAATAGAGAGAGGGCCAGTACCTCTTCCGAATGGCGCCCTGGGGGGCGAGAACACGGGTGATGTACTTCATTAAGATGGCAGGCCATGCGTCGCAGATATCAGGGCCGACCATGACACGCGCCGACATCCTGGAGAACAGGTCCAATACCCTAGGGTACAGGACGATCGAGGACCAGTCCGGACAGTGCGGCATCTCCTTTTCAGCAGCTTGTAAGCACAGCGTCTGCATGGGCTCGATGAGCTTGTTCAATGCGCGGTTGAGGTCGATCCTCGCACTGGTTTGAATTTCATCTGTGATTTCAGGGCCACCGACTTTGCTCATTGTCGAGGTCTAGGACGGGCTGGTCAGTGGCGGAGGAATTCGGACAGAAGGATGAGGTAAAAGGTTCCTACCAGGGGGAGGGGGGGTTTTTGACTGGATCACGCAATGCACTCATGTTTTGATATTTAATCAAAATTTTATTATTATAGCGAAATGCTAACAAAAGGCTATTAAAATATTATTAAAAGCAAATTATATTAAAGCTTTAAATTATATTAATATTAACTTTATATTAATGTTAACCGCATATTAACTAATATTACTATAATTTTATATTAAAAGCTTTAGTTTAAACTTTATTAACTTTAAACTTATTTCTATTTTTAAATATTTTCATAATTTTATAAATCCTTTCATAATAAATAAATAAGCTAGTAAAGGATAAATAAATAGTTAAGTTAAGGATAAGAAAAAAAAGTATTTTTTAAGGGGGCTATATTAAATGCTAATATTATATTATATTATATTAAAACTAAAATTATATTAAGATTAAGTAAATATTAAAAACGAGCCACCCAAACAAATGGGGGATAAGTTCTGCTAAACCCTCTTAAGGATAACTTAAGGAGGAGCTTTAACGCGATAAAAAGGGAAGATAGGAATAAAAGGGAGTTAAAGAAAGGGAAAAGATAAATATTTTAAAAATTCTTAAAAATAAGAAAAGCTTAATTAAAGCATTAAATATATAAGAAAAGAAAAAAGTTAATTTCTTAAAAGAATATTTAAAATAAGCATAAAAGCTAGCTTTTTATAGCTAATTAAAATTTAATGCAATATTATTTCTTATATAATTCCCTATACCTATTAATATACCCTTTTTTAGGCATTTTATAATAAATATTATAAAGATTATTAAAATAAAATCTTGCTATTTTTAATTAAGCCTTTAAGTTTTAAAATTTACTTTATTATAATCTTAATTATTATTATTATTTCCAATTTCTTACTTACTTATCTTATTATAGCTTTTATTTCTTTATAAAAGCTTTAAATATTTTTAAGATTTGCTTAGCAATATATTTGCTAATTATATTCTTTTAGCTATTAAAATTTACTTTAATAGCTAATATTAGTATAGCTATTAAAAACTTAAATACCTTTATAAAATAAAAAGTAAATTTATTCTTTCTTTTAATTATTGCATTAAGTATAGCATATTGGCTTTGCTAACTTTTGCTTTTGCTTTTTGCAAAGCTTTTGCTTTTGCTTTTACTTTTTATAATACTTTTGCTTTTAATATTTATATCTTATATTTAATTACTTAATTAGCTTATTTATAAGCCTTTTAAATTATCTTTAAGCAAACTTTATTGCTATTTTAATTATTTTAAGTTAATTAACATGCTTTAAATTTTATTTATATTTATTATTAAGATAAGTAAGTGGGAAAAATCCTTATATATATTAAGGCAAGCATTCCTTATTAACTTTAAAATATCTTATAATATAATATTTAAATTAAAGGCTTATTTAATTAAAGTTTTGCTTAGTTAATTTTAAGCTATGTAAAAGTTTATATCTTACTATATATTAAATATTTAAAATTAAGTTATTAAATTAATTTATATTAAAGGTATTATTTTTCTTATGTCCTTTTTATAATTAATAGCAATCTTAATATATTGCAATTTAAATAGCTGCTATTAAATAATATCCCTTTATAATAAAAGCTTATTTCTTATTTTAATTACTTTTATATTATTAATCTTAATAAGGGGAATTAATATAAGTATTTAAATGGCTTTATTAATCTTATTAAGCTTTAATTAAATAATAAATATTTAAGTAGTAATGCTAATAGTAATTTTAAGCATTTTAAAGTATATAATTTTAATTAAAAAAGTCTTAGCTTAATCCCATACCTTTTAATTATTCTTTTCTTAGTTTTCTTTAAAATAGTTTTTAATAAACTTAGCAATATATTATTTATAAGATATTTTATTAATTTATCTTAATTTTAATGCAAACTCTTTATTAAAATTTTATATTTTATTTTTTAAGGCAGCTATTAAATATTTATAAATAAGCGCTTTAATATCCTTATTTATCTTACTTTTTTTATTTCTTAATATAAGATTATTTTATAATAAGTAGTGGTTTTTTATCTTATTAAAAATTGCTACTATTTAATGGTTAAGTATATAAATAGGCATGATAATAAATTTATAATTCTTTATTAATTTATATTATTAATATTTTTTAAGTAAGGTATAATTATAATATAAAAATTCTTTAAATAAAAATATAATATTTTAAAAGTTAAAAAGCTGTTAAATTATAAGGGCTATAATATATTAAGTTTTTAATTCTTTATATTTATAAAGCATCCTTTTTATATTAAAGAAATTAAGAGTAAGGAAGGCTTAATATTATCTTATTAAATTTATTAACTTAGTTAGTTTTCTTAGCTTAAGGTAGAAATTAATGCTTAGGAAATATTCTTATATTATCTTTATAAGCTTATTATTAAATGCTATTTATTTTATATTAAAAAATAATAGTTAATTAAGGGTTTGGGATTATTAAATATTATTTAAGTAAACCTTATTTATAATAATTCTTATTTTAAAAAGATTTTTAAAGAAATTAATATTTACTTTTTAAGCAAAGTTTTATTAATTTTAAATATTTATAATATTTAGGAATTGCAATGCTTTATTAAGCAGGTCTTTAAAGTTATTAAAGTAAGGAAGTTTTATAATTATTAGCATTAAATTATTCTTTTTTAGATTAATAGGTTTAATTATTAAAATTAAGGCATTAAGGTTTTAAGATATCTTATAGCGTAAAGGTAATTAAAACCGCTTTTTTATTTTGCTTTTTTAATTAAAAGATATCTTAGCTTTTAATTATAAGGAAAGAAAGTAAAGTAAATAAATAGTAAAGTAAAAAGTAAGTAATAAAAGTTAAGTAATGAAAAGGGGAGGTATAATAATAAAAGAGCCTTATACCTTTAAAAATTGTTATATAGGTAATTAAAATAAAGAAGATTAGAAATAAGAAAGAAATATAATTAATATTTAGCTATAATTTAAAGCAGCTTTTATAAATAATTATTACCCATCCTTAGATAAGAATTAAGTAAGGGAAAAGATTAATATATTAAAAGCGCATTATTATTAAAATAGCTAAGTAATAGCTAATCTTTAATCTTTAATTAATAATGGTATAAAGATGGGAAGAAGAAGAAGAAAAGAAAAAAAAAGGAAGAGGGCTTAGCTGTAAATAAATAGGTATAGCAATGCATATAGGTTAAAATAGCAAAAGTTAGTAACTTACTGCCCTTAAGTTAAATAATTATATTAATTAAAAGAAAAGAGTAATAAAAAGGCTTATAAGTTATTATTAAAAGCTGTTAATTTATTATTTTATTAATAATTAAAATAAAAGGGATATATAATCTCCTATTTTTCTTAAATAGTAGTTAATTATAAAATACTCTCTTCTTAATTTATAAGTTTATTAAGTATAAATTAAAACGGGTTACTTAACTAAAATTTCTTTATAATAAAAAGATAAATAACTTCTTTATAAGCAAGAAATTAATAATAAATAACTCCTTTTAAATAATAAATCAACCCTAATTAAAAACAAGATAATAAATCACTCCTTTTAATAATAGGGTAGCTTATTATTAGCGTTACTTGCCTTTTCTTATTATAACAACTTTATATATATAAATTTCCTCTTTTTCCTTAAATTTCTTCTTTCTCTTTTTTCTTCTTAATATTCTCTTAATTTTAATTAGCCTTTAAGTTAAATTAAAATTAAAGCAAAATATTATAATCTTCTTATCCTTAAATATCTTTCTATAATAATATCTTTATTATTAAACCCTTCTTAATTAAGGTTAAGAAATTTAATATAAAAGGATTTCCCTCCCTCTTTTCAAGCTATTTATTATAACTTATAAGCTAAGCAAGTCTTAATTAAGGGCATCTATACCTTTTTTAAGCTAAAAGGCATTTTTAATAAAGATTAATTTATTAAGATTATCCTTTATAATGCTTTTATAAAAGGTATTTGCATATATAAGATTATTAATACTAAATAAAATTAATATTTTGCTTAATAATTTATTAATTTTATCTTTAAAAAGGTAGTTAAAGAACTATTTAATAAATTTCTTAATAAGCTATAAAAAAAGTAGTTTTTAAATAATATTAAGAATTTAATTAAAAGCTATATAAATATTATCATTATTAAGGGAAGTAATAAGGCTTTTTATAAAAAGTATATAATAGTAATATGCAATTACTTTAATTATCACCATTAAGTAGCTTTGCTTATAGCCTTTTATAGCTATTAAAATGCTTTTCCTTATAAATATTACTTAAAGCATATAGGTTATAACTTTTCCTTAATTATAAATAAGAATATCCTTATTATAATCCCCTTCTTTAATTACCGCTCCTTATATAGTTTTTATAATAATGCTTGCATTAATTACATTTATTATATTAAGGGATTTAATTAAATCTTTAATAAATATAATAATATAAAAAAGGTATAAAAGGCTATAGCAATTAAGTAGGTAAAGTTTAAGGGTATGCTTAGCTTTATAATTACCATTAGCAAGATAACATAGCTTAAAGAAATAATTAGCTTTAATATTATTTAAAATAAAAAGGCTAATATTGTTTAAGGCTGGTAATTACAACCTTATAATACAAAATTCCTATTATATTAATTATAAAAATAAGCTTTTTAATAAGGTATAAATAGTAATTAGGATAAAAAGAAAAAGGAAAAAAGTAAATTAAGTTATTAAAAAAAAAAAAAAAGTTTTTAATTTTAATAAGAAAATAATAAATAAGTATGCAATAAATTTTATAATATATTTTTTAAAAATACAATATTTTATATTTAAACCCAAGGCTAAATCCAATTAGGTAAATAAATATATGCAAAAAGAAATTCCATATTATAATAAATATATATATATATATATATAAGAAAAGACAACCCCCCCCCTTAAATAAATACTTAAGCTAAAATTT